GTATGGATTACTCTAATTTGCTTTTCCTGAAGTATCTTTGAAGACGACGCAGAAACATTGAACTGCCTTAAAATACAGCATCCAGTGTGATTATGGGATGACCTTGTAACAAGAATGACCTTGTAGCAGCTTCATTACAAGAACTGCATTAGCTACTATTTTGTTTTCAAATGCAAGTCAAAGCACTATGTAGAAAGTCCTAAATGGCTCAGGACCTGTGAGAACTTTTATTTCAGACAAATTCTGCCTATCCAACTTGAGAAAACAGGGAATGCCTGTTGAAGGTCTCCAGAAAAAATGGCCAGAGAACGCTCAGAAACAGGCATTACCTGTAGTTCTTCTCCTCTGAATAGCTTCTACAAATCAAGGATGATGTCTTCTTTGCAGCCTGTCAGTAGTTTGTGAAGACCTGCTATTCTGGAAGCTATTGGGATCAACAGTTGACTGACCAGATTACCACCTGAACCTGATATATGGGCTGAGAGAGTAATTGGCCCAAAGTCACTCAATCAACTTTCATGCCTAAGGCGGGACTAAAACTCAGAGTCTCCTACTTTCTAATCTGGAGCCTTAACCATTAGACCAGAGGTAGGCAACCTTGGTTCTTTTATGACTTATGGACTTCAACTCCCAGAATTCCTGAAAATTCTGGGAGTTGAAGTCCACGAGTCATAAAAGAGCCAAGGTTGCCTACCCCTGCACTAGACCAAACTGGCTTTCAGATATGTAGAATAAATGGTAGCATAATATATTGCAATGTCATTCCAGATTATTTCATTGTTATGCATTATATTGTTTGCATATTTATTTGTTTGTTTGTTTGTTTCTACATACACTTATACATCTGCCCAATTCACACAAGGTAACCCTGGATGACATTATTAAAATCTTGAAATAGCCTTTCCTGTGACTTGTAGTCTTTTTTAAGATTGAAGCAGCTTTATACAATACGTAAATAAAAAATAAGTTTAATCCTAGGCAAATAGACATCTTTATTAATCCTATTGCCTGGGTTCAAGAGATTCACAAACTAAATTTTTAGTCTTACCATGTTGTGTGAATTAAACCAGAGGCCCCCAACCTTTTGAGCACCAGGGATTGGTTCCGTGGAGAGAGTTTTTTCCGCAGACCGGCGGGTACATGGTTTTGTGTGCTGCCTGCATCCCATAGATGGGGCTTTTCTTGTTTGTGAGGCCCAGTTGCTGGCATGCTGCGACCCGGTACTGGTCCATGGACCAGGGTTTGGGGACTCCTGAATTAGACTATGTACAGTGCTAGTGATGGGAAACAGTTAGGTTGTAAATTGGAAATATGTGTTGGATGAGTAATCCCATTCTCAGAACCTGGATGTCTTCCTGGTATTTATTATCCCAACTAATATAGAGGTTCTGAGTAATAGTTTTGGAGTATAAAACAATATTCAAGCTGACTAGATCATCTTGTGTAAGGTGCTAAATCAGAATGAGATCTTGGGTTTGGTATTACAGTTATGTCATGCAAGTCCAACCATTCTGTTTTATTAAGTATTGTTTATGCCTGAATCCAGCCAAAAGTGATTTATTCAACAAATTAAGATTGACAATATACAAGCCCAGCCTAGCCCGTGTGAACTTCATTGGCTTTGTCTGCTTCTCTTCAGCCATTTGTCCATTCACACCATAAATTACCTACTTCGTTATGATGGTCATGTGGGAAAAGGCAGCCCAATACCTGCAGGACATTGGGAGCAAGACATCTGAATTATCTCCACATTGTTTAAAAATGGCAGTGAATGGAATAACATTCTAGATTCCAACTGCAACTCTGAGGCTTTTTTATTTGAGATGCATCCAACCATTGCTAAGTTAGGAAAACGGCAGGCATGAGGAATGAGAAGCCCAGGGAGAGGCAGAGAAAATAGCAGGGCTCAGATGGACTGGAATCAAGCCTGAGGCACTTTTGTAGAGCCAGAAAGGAAGAATGTAGTCAGTCCCAAAAGCAACACAAGAGTTTTGCTGCACAATACAGAATGTGGCTCAGTGCCTCCATCATCACAAATAACCTCGTGTGCAGACAGAAGATGGCTATTTGTTATGGCCCACCCACCGTCCTTTTTTTGTTGTTGTTGTTTTCAGAATATAAAACTCCTCTACTCCAATAATTTAAACCAGGCTAAGAAGCTGATACTGCACAAGCATTTTGAAAACAAAAGTTTGCAATACCATGAGACTCAAAGTCCAAAATATTTAAAAAGCAAAAAATTGCCTAATCCTCTTTCGAGTTATTTTTTTTTCTTTCCCCTCCCCCCTCTGATTTTTTTTCCTATCTAAGTAATATAGGATTTATTTTTCAACATTTCATCTATTATATAATAGGTCTTTTCCTCAAAATTAAACTTTTTATATAATATATAGTTTATACATAATATCATGTATAGATAATTTAAAAACTTTTATCTCGTCATACTGTTTTCAAATTATGTTTTAAAAATTCATTTAAAAAAAATTAGGTTGCCTGCCCCTAAATGTGGGTCTGAATTTTCTCAGTGTCCACTGAATAATATTACTATTGGAAAGTAAAGGATGAAAATCAAAGTGGAAGAGAACATTAGTACATAAGGACACAGCTGGCTGGAACCCTGAACTAGAATGTTCAACCCTCACAATTTCTTGTTGCAACTCCCACTTGTAGCCTTCCCACGTCCTCAAAAATTAAAACAGTTCTGGAAAAAAGTAAGCTTAAATGGTGCTTAGGAAAAAAAAAACAGGTCAGAGGGATCAAGTTCAAAAGTAGGTAAATAAAATTGTGCCCTGATGAATTGAGACTGTGTAAAACTAAGAAAACATGGTTATTTGAAGTAGATGAAAGAAAGTGAAATCACTTCAACTAATCCTGTTAATCATCTACCTCTAAAATATTCAAGTTGTACAAGGGCAGGGAATGAATGCTGCGGTCTTTTGTTTCTGCTCTTTTACACACAGAAACCAGTAGCTGAAGTTTTTCCTGGCATGGAGACATTACCTATGTTCATATTTAACCATAGCTTACTCCATTTACTGAAATTTCTGATCCATGAAGCAACCAGCAAACACTCTTGGTCTGAGTTCTCACAGCTGATAGACTAACATGATGTTCACTGTTCTATATTAGCTAAATAGTCTTTGACTTGAGACTGATTGCTTGGTGACCATTTGAAGTTATAATGGACCCACCAAAAGCTATTTATGACCTGATAGCTGCAAGTGCACACACGTGCATGTGCACAAACAGGGTCCCAGGATTGCATTTGGGGCACTTGATAATTCAGTCACCTTCATGGCTGTTTGCAATGTTCCATGATCACACAACTGAATATTTTGGTTTTTTTGCTGATTTTTGGCATGTACTTCATTTCCAGTAAAAAACACCCCATTGGGTAAAACTGATTCACTTAACATCCATAAAATTTGCTTAATGACTGCATTCATTTAGCAGCGAACAATATCATATAATATAATAGGATCCGGATACATGGTGACCCACATGACCACAGAAACTTTGAGTCATAATTCCAGGCTCAATTACAATTGTTATGTTGAGGACTATCTCTAAGATCATCCAATCAATAGGCACCTTTGCTCTTTACAGCAATGGATAGGAAAACATAGGATCCTCCAGGACAGCCTTCATATCCTAGACATCTTCTAGATCAGTGTTTTTAAACCTGGCAACTTTTAAGATGGACGTCAATTCCCAGAATGTGATTTAAATAATGAAAATTGGCATTTGACTTGGCCTCATCTTTTTTTATAATTTTAAAAAAAAATGTGTCTCTTTGTATCTCCAGCTTGCTGCCAAAGTACAACCTGCAACAAATACGAAAATTACGTTCCCTAATGTAGAACCACATACGATCTGGTATTGCGCAATCAGTTTCAGTTCTGGTATTGCGCAATCAGTTTCAGTCCCATTTCACCGAAGAAATTCCACGGGTTCTAAAGGCTTTTCACTTCTTCTAAATGGACTGGACCTCTGAACCAGTCCAAAAGCTTCAAGTTGTAAATAAAATGATATACATTCCTCTCTCCTGAAATGGACATAATTACCAACCTAAAAACCAAAATATAACCCAGCCTCTCCTGCTGTTTCAGTTCAAATGTGATTCTTCGCACTACAGGACAGAACTACTCACCCATATGGGTTACTGATGAATGTGAAAAGCGATGAAACAGTGGACTGGTGCATTTATTTTTTAAAAAACCAAAACCAAAGGTTTAGCAGAAAGATAAGTACTTCAGGAAAGGAAGAAAAATATTTTTTTTAAAAAATGTTAAGTTTCAAACTGAAGACATTCTATATATAAATCAAGAACTATAATCCTTATGTCATTGAGCAAGACCTGCAACAGAAGCAAAACAGATCTTGGGAAAATACAATAAAAATTTCATTATTTTAAAGTGGGCACTTGTGCTTGCCTTGGCGTAAGACAGGAGTAGGCAATCTTGGCTCTTTTATGACTCGTGGACTTCAACTCCCAGAATTCCGGGAGTTGAAGTCTACGAGTCATAAAAGAGCCAAGGTTGCCTAGGGAAGCTACCAAGTCACTACCCCCACTATGCGTGTGGTAGGAGAGTTGCAGGGAGAGCTTCAAGATCTCCAGGTTTCTGAGCTGTTGTTCAGTTGTAAGAGAAACTAGCAATACTCTCATTTCTTCACCACTTCTTTACCTTTGCAGTGTTAAAGAAAAGGGAAAAGAGGCATGCAAGGAGCTGCTGGAGACATATTATTCCTGCTTGCGGGCACTGGGCATAGATCACCCGGATTTAAAAAACAATCCCTAGGTGAGTGTCCCTGTATTGCTTAGACTGCAGGGGTAAAAGGATTGGTGGCAGTGTTCAGTGGGAACATGGCAAATTGCAATAGAGATTGACTGGTTTATGGGGAACTCAGTCAGAAAAAGGGAGTGTGCAGCAATTATGTTACGTTGGAGGAAAGAATTTCACTCTTTTCATTTTATTTAAAGGACAAAAGGCATGTAGAAGTGTAGCAGTTACTACAACAAAACTTTATTCCTTGACTTCATTTTTTAAATGCAGGCTTCCATGATATCAGGGTGCTTAACAGGGAAAACAATTTATAGAATGGGGATGAATACCAGGAATGTGGGATGAATGACAATCCCATCTTATCCCATTTCTGTTAGAAAGGAATTTCTGAAGATAAACAGTATTGCCACTAGTGGGGAGGTCTGAACACAGGAATCTTGCTTGACTCCACACATACTTTCTACACAGGAAAATAAAAAGACAGGCAAAAGCTTCAAGTAGATTTTTGCAAGACAGTGTATATTAAAGACATATGTCTCCTGCAAGAGAAAACATTAGCAACCCTTAATCCAAACTCAGATACTGACACAGAAGCCCCCCAAAACTACAGGAGGAAATAGTTTTCCTAAATAATTTGGCTGTCAAATACAGTTGCTGTATCTACATGTACTATGTGATGGCCCAATTTGGACAACACTGAAATCAATGGTTGGGTTCCCACCATATACTGATTGCGCTGATATACTGATTACAAGCCAACAAACTCCATATTATCCTAGTTTGTGGTAATGAATCCAAATGTTTGCTAGCAGCTGTCCCCCTACCTCTTTGCCAAGAAAGGTATGGCTTAGCCTAAGAAGCATTACATCCCACAGCAGTGGAAGACATACCTATACTTCTCTATTTATTTTCTCCTTTATTATTTTTACAGCCTCCAAATCACTGGGACACCCCAGCCAGCTATGTTTCCTTTCCCATAGGGACTCCGGAGTGCTCAACCAACAGAAAGCTCAGCACTGATGCAATATTCTCAGCAGGCGCTGCAACAGGAGTTCCCAACTTCAATAAAGCCCCTGCATTTTATTCTGACTGGACATGTTAAATTATTGAGTCATTGTTCTTTATTCAGTTGGAAGTCTTCTGATTTTCCATTAATGGCATAATGTTCCCAGATTTTGGGACCCTCATCTTTGCCATATTTGCTTTGTGCAGCAGCACTTAAGGAAAAATAAACCTGCGGAAGAGCTTTACATCAAACAACCTACCGGACCCATCCCATGATCGGGCATCTTTCAGTACCACCACTTCCACCATCCCTGGGACACCCTGGATACTGTGCTTCCAAACAATTCAGATCTCAGATGATATTCCACCTTGGATCCTGGGAATCAGAAGCACCCCTCCTCCAAAAATAATAATTAAAAATAAAGACAAGGAAAAAGAAAATCAGCCTCCTTGGATCATTTGCAGAAAGTCAATATATATCAGGTGAACAAAAACGGAAGAGATCCCAGAAATTCCTTCTTCCCGTTTTCTGTCTAGAATGAAGCTAGTTTGGGCACATAAAATAGGTTCGGCAGGCCTCACAAATTCCCTTCATCTTCTGGAGCTCTTCAACAAAGCCCCAACTCCATCTGAACAATTCCCCGGCACAACTGTGTACACCTTTCTTTTGGATTCTAGTAACGCAAAGCATTCCTGCTAGATCAGCCAAAGAGCCTCTCATCCAGCATCCTGATTCCACAGGAGGCACTCAGGTTTCCTGTAGCATGCCCACAGGCTGGACTCAAGGGAAATCTTCCTCTCTTTCAGCCTTTTTCTGTCCCTGATGTCTCCGTACAGCAACCGGGATTGCTGGATTTAACATCCAAAGTTATAGAGGACAAGTGAATTCCTTTGCAATAAAGGTCAAAACTATCACTTTATTCTGCTGAAATGAATCTCACAGCTTAATTTTGCACTATTCAAGTAGGTATTTCCTTAGTGCTCTCTGCTCCAAACCAAATTTGTAGGAGTCTTTCCTTTGCTTTAACCCACCTATCCTGCCTACAACTCACTGAGCCCGTATTTTCAAACATATGTAGAATAAAAAGACACTTACAATGGTCTTTATATACTCCCAGATGCAAAGGAAAACATCTAGAACCAAGGCAATCTACCTAAATTTCTCACATAAAACATGTCCTGCTCCAAAAGTCACCAACTGCACAAAGAGAGACCAATATGCAGTGTAGGACATTTAGGACTACTGTGGTCAGGGGCCAGTTTCATTTTGTTCCATTTCAGGTGCAACAGCAGATGCCAGAGGAACGAACTACAACCTTTATTACAAGAGACAAAGAATTGCAATGTGGAGGCCAGCCAGCCTGCCTACCTGCTTGCCCCCAGGGGTAGTGTTTTATATAAAGCTTTAATGGGAAAAGTCATAAAGTCCTTGGCCACTTTTCTATGGCCAGGATATCAGCCAAGGTACCCCGTGTTCCTCTCCTCACCTTGCCATCATCACTAAAAGAACACAGTATTGAGTAGGGAATGTCACCCACTCTTGCCCTCCCCCCAGGAAGGAAACTTCCTTTAGATCCCAAGCTATCCAGCCTCATGGAAATGGAGGCATTTTCATGATAGGGAAAAAAGAAAAAAAATTGCTGTATAATTTTGCCAAGTGATGCTGAAAGTCCTTTCAAATCAAAAGGGAATATAAAAGCACCATATAGCTTGGTTTAACCCTTCTTTCCCCCCACTTATGCCCCCACGGTCAACCTCACACAAGCTTGCGAAGCTAGGACTCCCTGCCACAGCAGAGTTGTAATCCTAACACCAGGAGTGGCTGAAGAGCCACCCAAGCTAAGGGAGGGCAAGGGAGCTGGGCACTGCTCTCCTAGTCTCGCCGTAGATTTTTTAACCGCTCCTCCAAATCAGCATCTGCGTCGGCAAGGGCTGCTGAGGCTTCAGCTTTCTTTCCTCCTGCCACGCTCAGAGAACCACCAGTGGAAGGCAAATCTGCAAGGAAGAGAGTGAAATCTGCAACAACCCAATAACACCATTTTCCCATCCATTCCCAGTTCTCTCTGCCCAAGACTGTGGCATCAGGATTACTGTATATATGGAGTTCATGCATCATACTTATCATGGTTAGGTTAACTATGGCAAAATGGGCAAAGTTTGACATATCACATTATGTCTTTAACCCTAGCATTAATCACACTTATGGATGACCTCTGGCAAGAGCAAGACGAAAATGGTGCATCTTTGCTTCCCCCTTATCTCTCAGCACCCTTTGATATTGATTATTTATTTTGGTGCTAAGGAATGGAAGCAGGGGCACGGTATTGTGCTAATTTTCCTTCCGGAGACCAGTTCCAAAAGGAATTCATGAGTGGGAAAAAGTCTAGCTTAACACTCTCCCTACTCCTGTTTTAACAATTAAACAAAGTGCTGGATGAGATAATTCAGCAGCATGGGGTAAGGTGTCATCAGTATTCTAATGATACCCAGCTTTACATCTCCATTCCTGGGCAACCAAGTGATCCTGGGGGAGGTCCTGTATCAATGTCAAGAGGGTGTAGGGATCTGAATGGGGAAGAACAGGCTTCAGCTCCTAGCAAGACTAGGATTTTAGGGCTTCCTGGATCCAATGTTTGTCCAGCTTTGGTTCTGGATGGGTGGCAGTACCTCAAACAGAACTAGTAAGAAATCAGGACATCCTTTTAGATTCATATCTCCAATTCAAGGAGCAGGTGGCAGCCTTTGTAAAAATTTATTTAATGCACCAAGTGTGCCCTTTCCTGAACCAAGAGGTTCTCTTACAGTCATGCCTTGGCTCACCTCCCAAACAGACTAAAATAAAGCTTGAAAACCTTCAAGCAGAATTGCTTCTTGTTGTTCTGAACAGATCAAGGGGCAATGCATTTTACTTATGACTTTTTGCACACATTAGAACTAAACAACAAGCTCATTTTCCTACTCTACCTGGACAAGCAGATTAATCCAAGGAAGTTAGGATGGAAAGTCCAGAACCTATAAGACAGGACTGGACTTTGCATGCATGGACCAAGACAGACCCCTATAGCACCATCATTTGAATTGGAAGAAGCGGGGGAAGACTGTCCATTTTTAAAATAAATCTCTCTCTACGTACTTTCAGTGTCTTCTTTCTACACAGATACCAACCTATTTTATTCTGGGTTTTTTGAGTAAAGTAATCAGGACCATATTTTCTACAATTAATTTCACAATTAAGAAATTACATTCATTTCAAAGGGGACCAATGCATTCAAGTGTTACCCTTTAACTTCAGTTAAAATTGCACTAATTAGGGTAAATTTCTGAAGTTGTACTATTATGGTGACTAGGGAGTTACAGTGCACAAAGTTTAAGAGCCCCAGGCTTACTGGCATCATTACCACTCACAATGTATTTTTAATCTTTGTTGAAATACCTGTTTTTAAAGATGTATTGGAACACTATTAACTGTTGAATGTTTTTCTGTTATTTTTGTTTGTCTGTATAGAGTGACCACATCCCATCTTGTTTTAAGTCTATTGGATTTTATGATAATATATTATGAGCCAGCCAACTGGATAGAAATAATGATTTTTATCCATCTGCGATTTACAAGAATTATGTGAGCTTTGGTCTCTTTCTTATTTATTTATTCAGTCATTCAATTTCTAGGGCTACTGAATCACAAAGTGGATCAAGTGTCTCTTCTCTTGCTGTACTTCTTTCTTAATTTTCATTTCATGCAAATACTTACTTGACAGCTCATCGGTCAGTGTCAGACCTAGCTCATCCAACACCTGGGAGACAACAGCATCACTGTGAATGGAAAGCAAGAAATGAAATGCACTTGTTTGCATGGCTAATCCATCACTTCCCTTAACTGAATCTCAATTCTTTCCTCAATGTCAGATTGAATTAACAGGCTTGGCTTTACTGTGCATAGATCTGGATTTCAGGGAGGGATTTGAAGGTAAAAAAGCTATCATTTGCCACCACTTAGATGCCAAACTTTCTCTTCAATATGCAACCTTTATGAGCTTTCCTGTCTCTAATGCTAATTACCTTTCCTCCTCATCCTCTTCATCTCCCATTGCATCATCAATAGCATCATTCATCATCTCTTCCTTCATTTCCATGATCTCTGACTGTTTTTCAAACTCCATCATGATCTTCTGAATCTGAGGCAACTTGAGCTAAAAGAAGGCAAGAAGTAACACTGTTATAAAATCTCAGAAAAGGAAATAAACCATCACTTGCTTTTCACCTTTTGGAAAGGAAGGGAATATTTTATTTATTTAGCAAATGTATATCATTGCCAATCACACAAAAAGTGACTGTAGGAGGCTTACAAGCAAAAAAGTTAAAACCACACCTGAAATTAATAAAAACAGACATAAATAACAAAGGTAAAACAAAACTATAAAAGACCTCCAAGAGAACAGGAGGACAATCATCATTTGGCCTCATTCACCATTGTACAGGCTCACCACAGAACCTCAGGGTTGATGAAAGAACCACCTTTTCAAAGCTTCCTGGAAGATTAATAGAGATGAGGCTAATCTCACTTCATAGGAAGTGATGTTACAAAGAGCAAAAGCTGAAGCAAAAAAGGCATGTGTCCTAGGTCCTGTCAGATGGAACTCGATAGCAGATGAGACCCAGAATATACTATTTCTGCTGGACCTGATGGGATGGACAGATGACAGATGGACAGACAATCCCTTAAATAACCTGATCCTGTGCCATGTAGGGATTTAAAGGTCAAAAACGGCACCCTGAATTGCACCCAGAAGCAGATTACACTCTGTTCCATGATCCATCCTAGATATCGACATTAACAGTCCACACAGCTGCATTAAAAACAGTCCTGGAGGTGATCAGGAATGAGCAACAGCGAGTGAAGTAACATCACTAGAGTAGCAGATTACTGTTACTAAGAGGTTGAATGTTCATTTAAAAAAAATATTAATTGACCAAGTGATAGTGAGAATAATTCTGGACAGATTGCATCCAGTCTGGAGAATCCTGCTGAAAAACAATTCAATGTAAGGTGAAAAAAGTATCTGTAAACTTGTTATGATACCTTAAGTGGCACATTTTCTGAATTAATCAATTTAAAATGTTTCTGTGCTACATTTTCTGCCTAGTCTCCATTGTCTAGTTCTTCCCATTAAGCCAGACATGTCAAACTCGCAATGTCACGTGACGTCACGCGACGTATCGGGACTGTTTTGCCATTGCCAGCAATGGGGTGGATGCGGCTTCTGCGTGACGCATCTGGCCCGCGGACGGGCATTTGACACCTCTGCATTAAGCAGTTTCAATTTCATTCCCTTTCTGAAAAACAAACAAAACAGATTTTACAGGTAATCCTCATTTAGCAACCACAACTGTAATCAACAACTCAGTGGTTACGTGAAGTGATCACTAACAAAACCACCACTGTACTTATGACCTCATTTTCAAGTTTTTTTGTTTTATAGACCTGCAAAGATCGTAAATGAGAGGACTGCAAAATTATTTCTTCATCAGTCTGCAAATGGTCACTAAAATGAGGCGGTTGCTAAACAAGGACTACATATAATATCTATTTAACAACCCACATATACTATTAAAAGAAATAGCAGTGCTCCAATATCTCAGGGATTGCCACAAAGAAGAGGGAGTCAAGCTATCCTCCAAAGCACCGGAAGGCAGGACAAGAACCAATGGATGGAAACTAATCAAGGAGAAAAGCAACCTAGAACTAAGGAGAAACTTCCTGACAGTTAGAACAGTTAACAAGTGGAACAACCTGCCTCCAGAAGCTATGAATGTTCCAACACTGGAAGTTTTTAAGAAGAGACTGGACAGCCATTTGTCCGAAATGATATAGGGTTTCCTGCCTGAGCAGGGGGTTGGACTAGAAGACCTCCAAGATCCTTTTCAACTCTGTTACTCTATTCTAATAACAAAATAGCTTTTAGAAAGCTGCCTTTTATTAAATCAAATTATTTGGATTTCTAGTTCCAGATGCCTAATCTGTCGTTGATTCTCTGGAATTTTAGGCAGATTGATTTAAAGTGGGACCTTCTGAATGCAATCAGATGCTTGATCAGTGAGTATGGTATAGATCAGTGGTGGCAAACCTATGACACGGGTGCCAGAGGCGGCACTCAGAGCCCTCTCTGTGGGCACATGCACCATCGCCCCAGTCCTAGGCCTTCAGCTGGGTTTTATAAAACCTTTTCACTTTAGGCCTCTGCCGCCGTGTGCAAAAAAAAAAAGGTTCAATCAGTCAATTTCAACTTCTCATGGGAAAAAAAAGATCTTGCAAAGTTGGAATTGATGTATTGAACTTTTTAGCCCCAGCCAGTCTGCCATTATCACCGCAGCCACGCCCACCCAATGGGCCACACCCAGCCAATGGGCCACACCCATCTGGCACTTGACGATGCGTAAGTGGGTTTTGGATTGCAGTTTGGGCACTCGGACTCTAAAAGGTTCACCATCACTGGTATAGATTCAAAAGGAGCAGTTTAAGAGAGTTTCTGCAGCTTAACTAGTATGCAGCTTACCCACCTGTCTGTTCATGGTAGCCATGGCTTTGGTGACACCTTTCATTGCCTGAGCCATGGAGTTGTTTGATTTGAGTGTCTGTATCTTAAGGGACACTGCCTGGATGTTAGCCCGCATCAGGATGAATTTCCTAACATAGCGCCTTGTTCGCACCAGATCTTTAGCCATGATTTTCACAGCATCCTGAGATGGAAGAACTAGGTTAGAAAGCAGATACACAGATTTTCTTCTGGTGACGTTCAAAAACCATATTTGTCCTTTCTTTCCAAACTCACCATCTGTCCTTGCTTAGCCATTTTCTTGATGTCAGCAATGATCTTTTTCTCCTGGGTCTCCAGTTTCTGCCGCTCACGGTCTAATTCTCGCATGGCACGGTTCAGAGCCCGCTGATTTTGCCGTAGCATCTCCTCTGGGGTCTTCCGGCGCCCAAACAGTAGATCCATCCTGACAGAAAACGAGTCAGCCTACAAGTCTTGAGAAAACGGAAGATGCGGAAACATAGGAACAAAGTATCATCGTATTAAAAACTACAAGAACATTTGGCCAATACATCAAGAAACTCTAATTTATTAAAATATATAGTCATCGACCAAAGAAACGCCCAATCAGATTACTAAAATTACAATTAGAGTTTCATGATAAATACACTACATTTCAGAATGGGAACAACCTAGAACAGAGATCTCCAACCGTTCTCGATTGGCGGAGGGAAAGGGAGAGAAAAGCATTTTACACGTACACGCATGCGCACAGACAAACAGGGCCGTGAGCAAATGTGATGCAAACGGGGCAGTGCTAGCACTCACGTGACACTAGCACTGCCCCATTTTCACCATGCAGTACCCTGTTTTCGTCACACAGCGCCCTATTTGCATAGCCGCATTGGCACTAGTGTGAGTGGGACCACATGCACACATGTGCGCATACTGGCCAGCCTATTTCGCAGCCTGTTAGCCAACATTCACTGTTCTGGGAGAAAATTCTCTCTGTGTTAGTTCTATCATTACTCAGCAAGCTTAAGCCAGGTTTTTGCTGCAGTTTTTATATAAACTTTTCTTATTGCCCTAACTATGTATCAAAAACTCAACAGAATTACAAAAAAAAAGCCTCTGTTCATTCTTCAAAACCTTGTGTTGTGTTGTATTACATTGTATGAATTATGTTAAATTGTATTTTATTATATTGCTCTACCTCAACGGTTCTCAATCTTTTCTTCACTACAATCCCCTTTAAATGCCTTTTGTGGCCATGGACCATGGCTACAGACCAGGCATGTCAAACTCGTGACGTCACGTGACATCGCACGACGTATCGTGACTTCTTCCCTATTGCCATCTAACTCAACCAGCCTTATCCAGTTATCAAATATTTTGAAATGCATTCTTATTTAGAGAACCTACACTTCTGAAGGTAGATCCCTCTGTGGCAATGAATCATTAACCCATATCAATGCCATCTCCAACACACAATCTGAATATGTGGTATACTTACTAATAGTTATGTCAAGAGAAATAAAAAAAATACGGCAGAGCAAAAACCTACTTATTTACAAGCAAAAAATAAAAATGTAACCCTTCTCTAAGAAACAAAACAACATTTGCTCTTTCAGACATCTTTTCTCAACCCAGACACCCTCCAAAGATATGAACGTGTTAGATGGGAATTCTTGGTGGTAAAGTCCTCTGATCTATATTTAGACTGGGCAAGGACCAAACTACCTATAATCTATCATATCTCTATATAAGTAATTTTTATTAGTTTTTACATAAGGGACACAGTTAATATTAAGATGAAGCTTTAGCACTAAAACTAAGCTTTATTGTCACTGCTGGATCTCATATAACCAGATCTCTTGGTTCTAACCTTTGTCACACTTTTGTACTTTTCCCAAATGGTTTCTACATGTATTAGACTCAAGCCTAAAACAGAGCTATTCTAATGAAAGGATGGAACAATACAAATGGGCTTGTATTTTTAATGACTCTCATTGAGTTCTAAAAATCAGGAGTCACAATCTTGGAAATATTTAGAACCTGCCTGTCATAAATTAGATAGCATTAGATAGGGATTAAGGGGCTCAATGGTTGAGCTAAATAATGTAAATAATGCACCTATCAAAAATATATTATATTTCCTTCTTATACAGAAATATATTTAATCTACAATTATCTATGTAAAGGTTTTGGGTTAAGAGAGATAAAACCCTCATGACAGGAAACCTCAGGTGTTCTAATATTACTGAAGTATTTCCCAGCATCAGTAGTCAATAGGAGAGCTAGAAAAAAGTCCACTTATTAATGAGAGAGTTGTTAAGCAACTTTCAGCTGGTTACATCTTTGTCATACAGAATATCCATCCGAATAAGGTGGATACAATGACAAGCAATCTTGTCATAGTATTGATAGTTACTAAAGATTGTGACCTGCCAACCATACAGTCTGGAAATCCTCAAATCTTTCAATCATCTTCAGAAACTGTCTAACAAAAAATTGTTTCCCATTTAACTCTTTTTTATTTATAAGGACGTTAAAGAAATTAAATTTGCACTATGTTAAATAACTTAAAATGAAATGATTTGAAAGGATGGTCTGCCTGATATTTATTTGGTTTAACTGATGGTACCATCATTTACACATCAATAGGATAAACATCAGCTAACCCACCATAGATAAAGCAAAGAATTAAAAAGAGAATCAAGCCAAATAAAATCAAATCAATTTCTCTTTGGACCAAAACAATTTTAAACATAAAGTCACAATGAAGCCCCCTTGGTTAAGAAACTTTTGAGTACAAAAATTCAGCTATGTTACTTTACCTTAACAGACTGTGGATTTATTTTTCAAAGGCAGTAGGTTCTGAATGAAATATAAATTTAATAATTACAACAAATTAGAGTATTGAAAAAAACATCATTCCTTACCCAAATGTTAGCATACCCATTCAATACATTATTCCAATCAAATACAAATAGAAATCTTTACAGTACTCTTCCAGAACTTGCCACCACTCCAGATGTGCTCTCCTCCCTCCATCAGTGGAGATGATATGAGTGGTAGTCCGTCACAGCTGAAGGACAGACTAGATGAGCTTACTTTATAGCAGGGCAAAAAGGGACAAACAATATAAAACGAAGAGGCTTGCTCTGTCCAAGACAAAGTCGCCTAGATCAGGGGTAGGCAACCTTGGCTCTTTTATGACTCGTGGACTTCAACTCCCAGAATTCCTAAGCCAGCCGGCTCAGGAATTCTGGGAGTTGAAGTCCACGAGTCATAAAAGAGCCAAGGTTGCCTACCCCTGGTCTAGATGATGTACCCGACGCAGGTTTGTGCTTGTAGGGCGTTGCGGGTGGGCGCTGGGAATACTAGCAAGGGGGAAAGCCCAAACACAATTCCAAATAGACATAATTTTCTTAAGTCTAACCACAAACAAAGGAGAATACGATGGAAAAGAGGGGGAAAGGCAGAAAAGGACTTCCCCCAACAATAAAAGCTTCCGAGACCTCGCTCCGACACCCCCCCAAAACTATTTACCGAGCAGCCGCCTAACTCCGTCGCTTCACCTCGATATTTCCTCTACGCTCTTCTTCCGCCTCAGCCCACTGACGTCACGGGAGTGGCATTTTGGCGTCATAGTCACGCGGGTGGAAAAACCCGAAGGCCTCCCTGATTTGCTCAGATAATAGGAGGCGGGCCGCAACCGGAAATTAGATACAGAGACAGAAGGAGGGGAAGGAAACGGTAGGAGATGAAAGTCTTGTCTGCCTGTCTTGGTACTTCCAGGAAATTTTAGGTGACAACTGTGTTAGAGATCTAACAAAAGCATAAAGAGACTCTTCCCTTCTCCCCCGCCCATGGTTTCCATTGGTGGACATTCCAAACTGTCCACCAGAGGCGAAAGTGAGCCGTGTTAAAAAAAAAAAAAGAAAACAAAACAAAACACAATAGGGTGGAGAGGAAATGCTACCTTTAATCATCATTTTTAGTCAGTAAAGTCTACTCCCCGATGGATGATGAGCTATCAAGGACAGCATTCATGCTAAAAAAGTTGTATATTAGCCAGTTTTTGGTGTAGTGATTAACACATAAGTCTAGAAACAGGGAGACCATGAGTTCTAGTTCTGATTAATCACAAACTCAGTTGGATGGCCTTGGGCCAGCCTCTCTAATCCTGCCAAGAAATCTGCAAGGACTTCTCCAGGCTGCTGCGAAGAGTCAAGACTGACTTGAAGGCATTTCCACAAAAATAATAAATCAGTCCTACTATCAATGAACCGCTTTCTGAAAGAGAATGTAGAATTCTTGGTATTTGTTCCATTGCTATTTACAATGAGCATATATATGTTCAGTAAGAGCTTGTGTAAACTGACCAGATCATAATATGTGGTACAATCCATCTGGATCCAGACTTTTGAGGGGAATGGGATTTGAAAATGCAAGCATAGCAGTGAATGTGGATATAGGAATTTAAATGAAGCTGCCACTCAGCTTTAATAGCAATGAAAATAAAATCCCAAATCAGCAAGCTTAATTTGATTTTTTAAAAAACTTAATCATCTATATCCTTTTCTGACAGGCTAATATGCAATTGTGTTGATATCTTAATATGACTAATTAGTATGACTTAATATGACTGGGCCATAAAATAGTAATTTCAGTATTATAACCTTTCTTTAAAAATTATTTTTTTTCACAATTGCCACCTTGAGAAATAGATTGGTTAAATGATTGGCTTAAAATTGAGTTTTCTATGGTTGAAGGAAAATCAAAACCCATAATTATTCTGTTTTACATGTGCCCTTGCCTATATAGGCAGTGCCATATGTGTTGAGGACTTGATTTTTTAAAAAAATAAAATAAAAATGACACCAAAAATATTTAGAAAGGTTTGAAGGTGCAGTTGTAGCAATTCATTCTTATTCTTATTTATGCTATTAGTCTTCAACTTTTGTAGTTTGGAGATTTAGCTTTTCCAAATTCAGCAGATATGGACATTTTTTCAAACTACAGTGCCAGTGCTTAGCCTTAGACCGGACTAGATCACTATTGTTAGCAAATGAACCTTCCACTTTCTTTGTATGGAAATTTTGCTGTGCAGCCTGCTGCAAATCTCTTTTTATCTGATCACCTGCAAAGTTGTTTCTGTTACTTTTGCATACTAATTGACATGTGTTGGTTTTTCTGACACATATACTTTTGCCATAATACATATGGCTGAGTCTGCAGGGTGCTTGGTCAGGATTCTTTTGATTCTATTTTGTTCTACAGATCACAGTGAGGTAAAATATGTCATTTTAATCCAGTCAGTCAAATTTCATTCCATGTGAGAGTTAACTATATAAAACTATGTTAGATATAGCACATAGCTAACCTACTTTGAGTTCAAAAAAAGGTAAGCAGGCTTAGATGTAGTTAGAACTTGAAAATGAACTCTGAAATTTTTAAAAAAGTGATAAACGCCTTTCATGGTGCTGTCAATAATATTACATGGATTAGTCCATGACATCTCATCTTTTGGGCCGGAATTTATGTTAATTATGCAAAAAGAAAATTGTTTTTCAGTCATTCCTTCACTTGGCCAGAGATCAAAGTGATTCAGTGAAACATTTTATCATTTACATTGCAGGTCTGTTCATAGCCAAAAAGTGCATCACACTGATCTTTATTTTGGGGCAAGAAGTAATTTAACCACCCCACCCCGTTTTCAGGATGTATTTTTTTAAGCTCTGTGTTTTAAGATTACATGTCTTAAAAACACTGCATTAAAAATATGCTATGTGACTGTGCAATATGGTTTAGATAGATAATATTTCTAGTTCCATCCTTGTCAGTGTCATTTTCTTTTTAAAAAAGATACTAGACTACAACTCCTCCAGTCAGCTATATTTCAGCTATATTGGCAGGTGTGCTGGAGATGGTGGGAAATTAAATGTCAACTGCATCACTCAAGTCAGGCCAGGATTATGCATAAGCATACCCATTCATAAATGTAGAGACACAGTATGTTTAAATAACAGTTGGTTCAAGCCAAGGATTCATGATGCACATAAGCAATGATCTCATTAGACAGCAAGAACAGAGGACAATGCAGTATTTTATATGACTGTTAGCACAAAATGCCCAAGAATGATGTAAGAGCTAAACAGAAGCTCCTGAAAATCTTGAAGCAAGGTGGTGATGACAGCTGACCTTTCCTATTGTCTTCTTGACTCCTAGTGTGTGCCATTAAGACACATGCCTTATACTATCACAAACTGAGGCGATAAAAATGACAAATGAAAGAGGAAAAAGGTGTGGGAGACAGAAAAGTAGCAATTTTGTTTTATTAACAGCAATTAAGCACTATCTTGAGAGCACTTTATTATGGTCATGACCTATTAGTACTGAGACACCCCAGGGCTAAATAGACAAGCATGTTTCAGTTTGTAAATTATTTTTATAGGTTTTAGGTTAGAAAAATCTTTTGTCTTTCTGCAATCCTGAATCATTAACTATTCACAGATTACCACACCTCTGCATTAGTTGAACAGAATTTGTAGTGGTTCATGCAGGACAGGTTATAGGCTTAAATTTTCAGATCCACTACCTGCACCTTCAGAACAGAAGCTAGAAACTTCATAGAAGTCAGGATTGTCTGTAGACTTCATTCAGCTACTAGTACACCATGAAAGATGGGAACGTATTTCACTTGGAGCTAATTTGAACAGTTGTTTTACAAACAACTGGCAAAATAAAAGTGCCTATTTTGAAAGGATGGAAAGTTGAGAAAAAGCTCATTTACTAAAGTAAAGCAGATAGTTCTTGACCTACAATTGAGCCAAAACTTTGTTGTTAAATAAGACATTTAAGTGTTGCCCTATTTTATGAATCTTTCTTGCCACAGTTAATTCCTGAAGTTGTTAAGCTAGTAACAAAGTTGTTTAGTGAATCTATTGATTTTGCTTCTCAGGAAGTCACAACAGGGGATCATATGATCCCAGGACACTGCAACTATCATAAATATGAACCAGTTGCCAAGCATCTGAATTTTGCTCATATGACCATGGGGATGCTGCAACTGTTGTATGAAAAGCAGTCAGGCACTTTTTTCAGTGCTGTTGTAACTCCGAGCAGTCATTTAACAAACTGTTGGTCAAGGACTACCTCTACATTAGAAAATTTCATTAGTCTATTAACAATTCTCAAAATGTAAGCAGCAGGAGACTGGGAAATGTTAGGATGGACAGATAGAACTCTTTAGATTTTCTTATAACTTTCTTCTTTGTATATATAGGCATTGAATATATATTTGTATGGTGTACTGATGATTTTTTTTTGAATTTGGGAGCTCAAGGCTATGATGGGTTTACATAGTTTTGCGTAAAATCTCTCATCAGTTTCTCTCCAATTCTAGTAAAACAAATGCAATCCAGCATATCAATTGTAGCATAGATCCAGACCAGGTTAAGTTTACAGCACAGCTATTGGATGTATATGCTTAGAACAAATAGGAAGTATCACTAATTGGTAGGAAATACAATTTTCTAGAGGCAGTTTGTGAAAGGGATTTTATCAGCAAAGCAGAATTTATTATGGTGGAAAGTTGGCATCTTTGTTAGATCCTGTATCATAGAACAGTCATAAAATCAATTCTGTTCTAACACCTACACTCAGATGCCCAGGTATGCAGTCAGTTTATTCTGTATCAGTTGTGGCAACTGTACTATTAATGGGAGAAATGTGTCCAACTAGTATGCCAAAATCAATATTGTCAAAATGTTGTTCCCATCACCTCTTTAGCATTCACCTCCAGTTCCTTCCTATATACACAGACCATCTCCCATTTCTCAGGATGGCACAGAACTTCCCTGTGACCACTGTCCAAGCCAATACACATCACTTTCCCCTGCCCTCTCCACCCCTGCACCAACCAGGGAAGAAGGAAGCAGAAAATGAAAGGCAAATTGAATGTGCTAACGTTCCCCTTTAATAACCCGACACACTAGAATTACAGTGGCTTTATGTTGGCCAGGGACTTGCAGGAGTCACTGGAGAGGCAGAGTAGAGTTCATTGTTGGGCAGGCCCTGGTAAACAACAATAGGATCAGCAGTCTCCCTGTTACTTTTATTACCACTACTATGAGCATTGGTGGGTGTGATGGTGATGGCTTTATTAGCTTTTCCTTAAAAACCAAACACCCAAGTGAGTTGATCCTAGAAGAAATATCCCAGGCCTAGCCCAGCCCCTCCCCCTTGAGCCACAATGCCTGGGGTGGAGTGAAGGCAGCTGAGCATCCTGCTCTGGCCTTCCACCAGTCCTCAAGAGCCTCCCCCATTTAATAAATAGTTATGGTCAGAAGCTGTGGTGCCCAGCAGGAGAGGAAAGGAGAGGCAAGTGGCCTGCAGATCTCGCAGTTGAATAACACTGCACTGCAGGAAGGAATGCCAGAGCACATAGGGAGCTTTCTGTTCTTAGCAGCAAAACCACCGTTCCCAGAAAGACAGATAGGGTTCCACACAGTCAGGAATAGGTGGCTACCCCAACATAAGGAGTGAGACAAAGAAGCAGCAGTAACCTCAGCCCTCGCCCCACAGCAGCAGAGAGAGAGAGCAGTGAGGGAGGTACAAGGATCTGGTGAGACAGTGGTTGCTGAAGCTCCAGGCTGGCAAGGGCAGCAGGTGAGCAGATGGAGGGGAAAAGGAAAAGAAAAAAAGAAGATGGAGGGGGTCGCCTGCCATTTCTGACTCCTGTGCCCCCTTGAAGGCAGCGGTGTTGGCTGAGTCCCTTAGAAGAGCTAGAAGGGAGATGAGGGGAGGGGGAGAGGGAGCAAGTTTGTGCCCGGAGCCAGTCAGTTCTATTTGAGGCAACGCTCAAAGTAGGTGGAACCAATGTAGCCACCCCGCATCGAGCGCTGGACGTTCTGCTCAAACAGGCGTCTGTTGTTCTGGAGTACTTCGGCAGCCTCTTTGTTCAAGGGGTCTTCGGGGTTTGGCTCCTAGAGAGGGAAGAGAACACCATTAAATGCCACAGTTTTGTAGCAGTTTAAAGATTTTCATGTACAAGGAATCCATTTTAATCAGGCTGCAAGAGTAAACAACATCTTACTATCTCTTAAAAAATCACTCTTTACTCAGTATAATTTTGCCCTGTATTTGCCAACTAGCATAAACAGCACTCCAAAAGAACAGACCCTTCCTAAATTATTGGGCTATAAAACTGAGGGCAGGAGAATTGTAATTGAGAATTGCAAAATTTATGTCAGCTTTACTGGGTAAACCAGACAGGAAATATCATCAGATAAGCTAATTCTACTTTATTATAAAACTATATTAAAATAATACAAGTTTCAAAAGTATAATTTTCTTGCTGTCTCTTTTACAGCCTAATAATTTAGGGAGGATCCCTCCCAAGCCTCTTGTTCCACCTTCTATAGGCAGTTGTGTCTTATGCTTTTTCATTTCTGGTCATTCCTTAAGTAGCTTCACCTGATCTCCCAAGGTCATTCTCCTATATCATTATACCGATCAACTCCAAACTGTAAGATGAACCAGATTCCCAATATATGAAAATTACTATTTGTTATGAAATGAAACTGCTTTTTGGAAAATGATCTTTTTTTGCCAATAGGCTAGAAAGTTAAAAGCCTAGAGGAATTTTTGTACTACTTCATATCATTTGTGCAAGTCAGGTTGTCAAAAATTCCATTTAATACATTTAAAAATACATGTGTATTTTTTTTTTTAAAAAAAAAAACTACATTACATGCCATTTTATAACCTGATTTTAATTGTACTGCAATGCTCTATAAATATCAAAATTATTAATACCCAATTCATCCATCTTCTTTAAAATGATTAAAACTTATTTTTGTAGATGAAAAAGGACAATATTATTAATACAATAGGTCATTTAGCATTCTTTATACAATAGGTTACAGGGTGCCCTTTTTATTTAAGCTATAAATATTTAGGCCAAAGGGATTTATATCTAAATCTGTTCTAAATATTCCAGTTTTTATTTCTCAAATTGAAATGACAAAACTAGAAAAACATTAATTATATTTGATGTAGCAATTTAAATTGAACCTAAGCAAAATATTCATATTTTCCCTCTACCCTACTAACTTTTTGGAGTATAGCCCCACCATACCACTGATGTAACATTCATCATACCACTTCAAGGCTATCACACAATCACATGGATATTTACTTCTTCATTTCATAATGTGCTTAAATAAATAAAAATTTCAGTAAGTGGAACATTCTGAACTGTCAAATTTATGATGCCATCTTAGAAATACAGCATGCCAAATATTTTTTAATTTCCAATTTATTCCATAAAAATAAATGCACTGAGGTAATATTCACCAAACATAGTTAACATACCAAGACACTATACTGCAAAACAGGAGGGACAAGACAAAAAAGTTTGAGCTCATACTTTTGGATATTATAGAAAAGTTCCATCTGGTTGGAAACAAATGCTTTAATTGTGAGTAGTCAGAGTTTTTCAGGAAAAACAATATTAGAAAGCTAAAAAATTGAAATAAAACACTCTACTTAAATGCAAATGTTTTCATATTAGCCACACCCTATAGTCTTCCAACCATTTTATTTTTCAGATTTTATCAAGTACATTCTTGTGTACAGGGAAATTCCCATTCCAACTGGTAGACAGCATCAGCTACATCTTCCCAAAATGTAATGATACAAATTTGCTTTCATTCACAATCCATCTAACTTAGAAAACTATGAATTCCCAAGGAGCACACTGCCTTTGCTTACTGTATCATTTGTCCCCCAATCTTTTAATTTTCCTGCCGAGACTGAGCAGGAAGATAGTGCTCTAACCTTAATGTCACTATTTCAGACCTCCTTTCCACATATACTTACCAAAAAGAGATACTGCAGGCCATAAATTATAGAGTTTATTGTTAGTACAGGCTTCCAGTCCTCTCTGTGGGCCAGAAAAATAATGGGGAAAAAATGAACACCAACTGAGGAAAGTTTACCCAAAAATAACAAAAATTTTAAATTCACATTATTAAAATAAAATTTTATGAGAATTGATCCAAATTGAAATATGTTTAATATTCCAAATCCTTTAAAAATGAAGTCAACAGTTCTTAGACCTTTAAAACATAAGACACTTTTAATTACATTTTCATGTAATTAAATATTGACAATATCCCAAGAGTAAAATTTTTGACAGGCTTCTTTCAGGTTTTTATTTCTCCTCACCCTTTTAATTATGATGGCATAAGAGGATTTTTTTTTAAAAAATGAAATATGTTCAACATCCCAAATACTTAAAAAAAAAACAAAAAAAACAGCAGTGCTCAGAAATATACCCACTAGGATGGAAGATTGCCTTCATGCTGGCTGCATGTGCCAGTTCAATACATCCTGAGGGCATTGGGTTTAGCATGATTGTTGCAAGCTCTCTTCCACACTTAGTGTAGCTAGATTCATAAACACAAAAATTATAACTGAATGTGAAGTTTTGCCTGAACACAAACAACATAGCTTAGCAGAGAAGTCAGAATAACAGAGTTGGGAGTCTTCTAGTCCAACTCCCTGCTCAGGCAGGAAACCCTCTACCATTTCAAATTGTTATCCAATCTCTTCTTTAAAATTTCCAATGTTGAAGCATTCACAACTTCTGGAGGCAAGTTGTCAGGAAATTTCTCCTTAGTTCTGGGTTGCTTGTCTCTTTGATTAGTTTCCATCCATTGTTCTTGTCCTGCCTTCAGGTGCTTTGGAGAATAGCTTGACTCTCTTTTCTTTGTGGCAACACCTGAGATACTGGAACACTGCTATCATGTCGCTTTTAGGCCTTCTTTTCATTAAACTAGATATGCCCAATTCCAGTTCTTTATATGTTTTAGCCTCCAGTCCCCTAATCATCTTTGTCGCTCTTCTCTGCACTCTTTCTAGAGCAGGGGTGTCAAACTGCTGGCCCATGGGCCGGATGTATCATGCTGAAACCGTGCCCACCCCATTGCCAGCAATGGAAAAAAAGTTGAGATACATCACAACATGTGACGTTGCGAGTTTGACATCCTTTCTAGAATCTCAACATCTTTTTTACATCATGGTGACCAAAACTGGATGCAGTATTCCAAGTGTAGTCTTACCAAAGCATTATAAAGTGGTATTAACACTTCATGTGATCAGCAGTCAATAACTGTTGAAATCTGGAGATCGCACCTAACATTTTTTGTGAAAACCTAGGGCCACAATGGATTGGCAGTGATTCAAAGTGAGAGCTGCTAATTCTGTTTTTAATTTGGAGGGATTGTTACTTGATTAAATTGTGATAAACTGTAGAACTTGCAGTAAATTTTGTGTGTTTGCCTTAAGATGGTGAAAAAAAAATGTGCCACCAATGTTCAGCAATAATGGGCAGGGGCAACTCTGGGGGCGACAGAGTTCCCAGGCAAAGGTTTGCCTGCTCCTTTTTCTTATGATCTGTGAATCATCCTTTATTCAGTATATAGTTGAGCAATCAGTGAATATTTGTCGCCTCAAAAAGCATTGTGCTCAGTTCAAAATAAAAAAATATTTTATAAGTTGTCTGATATTTCCCCAACATTTGTTCTTAAAACTTCCTCTAATCCTGCAAACAAGAAAATAATACATAGGAATGAAAAGAGAATATATAAGAACAGCAGAACATGTTTTGTACCTGAGAATATTTAGGCAAACATTGCCTTCTAAATCTATATTTGGGTGATACACCATAGTCTCACACTTGACTTTGGGGGGATCATGCGGGTAACCTTGCCCAACCTGCAAGCAAAACACAAAAGAGAAAGACATTCTGTCAGTTTTTTCATGTTAGGTATTGTCCATTCAAGATTGCTGCCAAAAATGTGGGCCATGTACACAGCGTTCTATGACTTTCCCATTCTTCACTAATTTTCTGCCAGTAGATTTGGGTTTTGCCATATTTAAATGGTACAGAAGGTAAATTATATTTTGAGTTATGCAATGCCCAAACTAGAATGGAGAAACCAGAGAGGAATCCTGGCTTCTCTGACAATGTATACAATGCAATGTGTCCAGATAATTGATATCCACTATTCAATCAAGATTTCAGTGTGAAGCATTTGTTTATATGGCTGTTTTAATTACAGTTTTGTTTTAAGAACTTGATTGTAGAGCAATATGAAAACAGTTGCTACAATTAAGTTGCTGGAATTATGAGCTCCAAATCTTTATGAGTATAAACACTGACAAAGATCCAAATAATAATCAGAGTAAAATAATGAACCATACATACTACTTTGAAAATTTGCAAGGATGCAATAAAAATGAAATTGTTTCAAAGACAGTAGCATTTTTTCATGAACAGGCAGGGATCTTAAATACTTTCACTGAATTGAAAATACTGGGTATTTTTGAAAACTTTCCATAAGAGTCCTTCCCTCTAATCACTTTATTTAGAACTGTTTTAATATTTCTGTCAGGTCGATCATGCAGGTGTCCTGCCATTCTGTTGGGGCGGAGGAAGGCTTCTGGCACTGTTAGGAAATTAGGGACGGGGACTATTTTCAGAGAAGAAGCAGACTCCTTTCTCAGCCGGTTCAAGCCTGGTTCCAAGGTCACCATGCCATAGGAGTGATCTGTTATCTACCCAGCACTTCAGTGTTCTCATAACATCTCTGCGGCATCATATTGGCTGCTGGTGGATAGTATGGGGGGGTGGGTGTGGGAAAAAACGAAAGAATTGTTTTGCACTTTGTGCAGACCTCCACATTTCGATTAACTTTTCTGCATCCACTATCTCTCAGTAAAAGTTCTTTTGATTAACGTTAATGGAGACAAGAATTTTGCTTTCCTGAGGGAATAGATCCTTACAATTTCATTTTTGTCACCTCCGGAAGGAAAGACTGATTCTCCCTGGAATTCTCAGCAGAAATATGAATATTAGACCCTTTCTTTTCTCTTCTGACAAACAGCCATAAAATTTCCTAATTTCTAGTGATAGTTCTGATTCACTGAACAGATTTTTTAGTAAAGTTAGTAAAGACACAGGCTTTCTCAAACCTACACACTCAAAGTTTTCTGTATTAGCATTATTTTAATCCAATTGTTGTAAGATTTTCATAGACTTACTTTTGACACAAAGGGAAGTATACATAGTTTACACTAAGCATTTTTATGAGAAAGACTGGCAAAAGTTCCTCTAATATATAAAAGCAATTCAAATCCAAGCCAATTTTTGACTATCCTGTGCTTTAAGCAATCTACGTATCCAGATATCTATTAATATTCATTATTGTATTTTCTTTAAATGAAAACTGAAGCTATTGGGATGTCAATATACACCTATGAAGTATATACTGAACATATACACAACCAAATTATTGGAAGACTATGGGATAGCTGGCTAGCAAGCCAGCCTATATTTCAGACATTTAATACATCATGGAAGCAATTTCTTCAGGTATTATTTTAAGAAACAAAAATTATAATAATGGATCTGATTTCTAATCTCATGATTTGTGCAGAAATCACATAGAAGGTTGTCATGTGCAAATGACTATCAAATAATCCACGAGTCATTAGTATGATATATTCAAACACAATGTCCACTTTTTCAAATGTAATTAACTTACAATTAATTTCTGAAATACAAATCACTTCAACTTTCTGAAAATCCATACACAGAAGCTGATCCAATGTATCTTAGACAGTAGCCATTAAGAATTGCTTTCTTCAGCAATAATTCAAGACTATTTCTTATTAGTACTCTTTTCAAAATGTTTTTCTCAGCAACTGATTTTTTTTAATTAACACCCTTTAACAGGCAAAATACCTAGAGCAAACTTTGTTAACTTCCCCTCATAATCTTTATCATAGTTCCAAGCATACTTGCTATTCTACATAATTGCTCATTAAGTAATCAATCAACTGATCTGAGTCCAAAAATGTAAGAGATTTTCCTCACTTCAGAAGCTAAACCCAGCTCAGCTCTAAGTAGAAAACAATGAAGCAACCAAACACATTTGATTTATGGCAAACTATAATTCCCAACCTCTGCCCTGAATTAAATTGTTCTTATGCTGACACCATTCATCCATATGTTGCTACCCAAATTACACAAGGATGGCTGAACTCCAATGAACGGTATTATCCCTGTTATTTTGTGCATCAAAAAAGTTACATATACAGTATTTGACCTATTAGATATCTTAGACAACAAGCAGAGACAGATTGCTTACCTTAAAGCTGAATACAAATTTCCCACCTTTATAGAATCCCTGTAAAGAAAACATTGGACAATTTAAGCAAGTATGGCTCCAAATAGAAGGAAACAACTGTCATACATTTCAGATATGGGAAAATGGGAGGTGGACAGCACTAAAGTTACAACAAAGCAGTTCACTTTCCAATGCCCCAACACAAACCATCAGCTTCCCTAGATGGTTGTCATTTTAGGGCATATCTCTTTACTTCACACTCCCAAATCCTGGAAATACAATCAGCCACCCAATCTAGAATAGGTCAAAAATACACGGAAAATGGGGAATTCTTAGTTGCTTAGCTTTACATGTATTTCTGCAAGTAAAGAAGTAAAAAAGGTAGAAGACAGAACATTGTACTGGAAAGAGGACAGAGTTTTTATTTGCTAACATTTTGACTTCTGAATGGGATTGTGCTTCAATATTCTGGATCAAAGAGCAAGGAAAGCTGTCACACAGATTCATCTTGTGTATTTTTGTACATGTGCTTTAAGATTATCACATCAGATTGACTAAAAATAGAATGTGTTAAAGTTCTCCTTATTGTCTTTTCATCCAACATTCTCCCCGCTTTAGAAAAGTTATTTTGTGAAAACATTTTGCCTACCTTCACAGTTAGCCTATGTACAAAATGGACCATTGCATTCAAAATGTGAACAATTTTAAGCAATAATGGACTTAAAGCACAAAAGTAAAAATATAACAGACATGTAGTGGTATGAATGTCAATATCACAGAATATATTGGTCTACTGAATCATCCCACTCATGAAGTTTCTCAACCAAAGTAACCAGTAACCAATCATTACTTAAGACCAGCTTCTGAACTGGTAAAACGTTCATGTGGTATGGCCAAAGCCATTTACAGTAGATATAAAAATTCTACACACCTCTGTTAAAATGCTAGGTCTTTTGAGATGTAAAAAATCAGACCAAGATAAATCACTTTCATAATTTTTTCCATCTTTAAAATAACATATATGCCATACAATTCAACTGAAAAACAAACTGCAATCTCTTTTGGGGGGGAGTAACAATAACAAATGTATTATAACATAGCTACATTAAGCTTGCACATTCTCTTATAAGTAGGAAGATGGCTATGTTTAAAATTAACCAATCACATTGAAGCTGATGTTAATTAGTAGTTAGTACACACCTGCAATCAATTGAAATGATTCTGATCAGGGCCATAGTAAGTTCCCCTGTTCTAATAAGATTTTTCTAACATTTACTCAGGTGCCTTTTACAGCAAAAACCATGGTCTGAATAGAATTTACAAAAGCCTCAAAGAGATCTCATTGTTGGAAGGCTTTTGAGATGTAAAAATATCAGACCAAGATAAAGCTCATCTTGGTCTAATTGTTTACATCTCAGAAACCTGGCATTTTAACATGTGTGTAGGCTTTTTATATCCATAATATATTCTGCACAGATAAATTCAAAAATAGGCAATTTTGGGAAATCTATTACTATAATTACCCTAAAAACAAAAAAGCAAACAGGTTTAATATTTACGATGCAGTGACAAGTTAAGAAGGTTATGTATAAGAAGTTAAAAAAATATGGCAAGATATAATGAACAATATTAAAAGGGCCCAGACAGTATCATCTTCACTATTTCAAATACAAGAGCCCTAATGATTAAAATTATTTTCAATAAGTAGTTTTTCTCCAAACCATTCTATCAATCATCCATTATACAGAGAAAAACATACAAGGGGAGGTGGGAGAAAGTCACACAGCACAGAGCACAGCCTATTAACTCACTAATAATGGGGCTCCAGGGTTTAAATAGCACAATATGCAGTAACATTTTAAAGTTTCTTCCTATACCGACATCACTCACCTCATCAGGGCAGATAACTAGCTTGAAATTGAGAAGATCATCCTGGTCTGAAAAGTCTATTTCACATGTTTTCGGCAAATTCAGTTCATTTATATCTGTCAGAAAAAGCAGAAGAAATTGCCAGTTTAGAAAAGACAGCTTATTAGAGAGACTTCTGACTCAGTAGAAAAGCTTCTATTCCCAAACTAAAATATATAATTGCTCTTTATGTTGATCATTAGTTAAAAACTGATACACTTCTCTGAAAACTTTTAGAAAAGGGGGAAAAAAGTCAGTTTCCCCAACTACAAGACATAAGGTAAATTTGGTCCAATCTCATAACAATCTAATCTTCCTAAAATGGATCAAGGATAGCTTTTTGGAAATTTATATGCACTGTATATCTTACAAAATGAAAGAAAATGTGCTTTTGCATGAGTACTGACAACTATTAAGGAACAATCAAGTTACTATAATGAAATGAAGACAGTAAGTTATAGGCATGGATTAATTTGAAAAAGAAAATGATTTTAAACAAAATATTTGAAATGATAAAACAGCATGTGCCCAAGATAGATTAATTAAAAAATTGAGTTGTTCAATTGCCAAAACGTTGTAGAGGAAGGACAAGAAAACAAAATAATCAGCAATATGCAGTTTGAGAAAGTATTCAGGTATCTACAAATTACTTTAGGTCATTATAGTGTGTTTATAACTTATTCTATGAAGAAAATCAGACCACCCTAGTTTTGTGAGCCTGAAAAGCCAGACTCCTAAAATTCAAGAGAGTTCTGGCAGCAAAAGGAATCAGGATCTGTTCAATGATTTCCCATGAACTCATCAAGCAGTCACTAGCAGGAAAGGCTTTCCAACCACTTACCAAAGCTTGGCCTACCTTAAAGGGCTGCTGAGGATTATTAGATAAAAGTATTAAGAAAAGCTGAAACACTAAGGCTCGAAAATGAAAAAACGTGATGTTCATCAACGGGAACAAGCAAGCCCCCGGTGGGCAAAGTTTTAATCCTGTCGTCCCGCGTTCACCGACGCAGGTACCCACAATAATACTATCTTATCTTTGTGGCACAGGAGGAAAAACAGGAGCAGCCCAGCCCTCACCGGCCTGGCTTTCTTTTCCCCTAGAAATAAATGCAGCTGCCCCTCTGTCCCCCGACCTCCCTCCCCTAACCTTTCTGGATGCGGAGCTGCGCGGCAGAGGCTTTCTTGCTGGAGCCTTTGGTGCCGCCAGCCGATTCCTCCTCCTTCTTCTGCTGTTTCAGCGAGAATAGCTTGATCATCTTGGCCGGCTTCTGGTGGCTCGGCGAACTGTTCTTTCGCCCTTCTGACCCTGGCCTCGACCTGTCCCACTGGCTCCCGCAGCCAGGCCCAGCCCAATAGTGCGCGGCTCTTAAGAAAAGAGAAGGAGGGAAAGGTAGGGGGACGGCGACTCCCGCGGCCTCGCCGGCCGAGAAAGACGGGACGGGGAAGGGCGGGGAAGCCGGGCGAGGAGGGAAAGGAAGGGAGACGGGGAGGCGAGCGAGCCAGGGAAAGGGCCAAGCAACCAGGGCAGGCCCGCCTCAGAACGCCGCCGCTGCGACCGCCGGTGCTGATTTTCCTATTGCGGGATCCGTGTGTAAGTCGGACGGCAACGGATAGCCCTCTTCGGCCCTTCCCGGAAGAACATCGGCAACTTCCGTCTTATACTCACAAGCTCCGCCTACTTGCCGATTCTCCGAAAGGACTCAGATGCATTCGCTGGAGACGAGTGGTGCTTTTTAAAGCTGTCGGCCTTTCCAGCTGAGGGCTCAGCCTTCTTTGATTTTATTTATTTATTTATTTATTAAAGGAGCCCGGGAGATTTTCCGATTCGGCTTTCTGTTTTCTATTTCCTCGGGCTTCCGGCTGAGGAATCTGAGGCAGTGATTTCCGCCCGGCATTCGGCTCTCGACTTAGAATTCTGGGACTCCAAGAGTCACAGCCTCATAGCGCTTTTCTAAGATGTCCGGTTCCCAATTGATTATGGCAATATGCGGGGCAAGCGTTGCGGAGAGGGGGAAAAAAAGCAGGAAGTATCAAAGTTTATTTTGGTATAGTTGCTTAAAATCTCGTCTCAGTAAATGTCCTATGAATGCTGAAAGAAAAGCAAATATGTTTCTCTCAGCCCTCTTTTGCGCAGGGCGATTGACCCTGCATAACAAAATCATCCACGTGCATAACGGAAATGAGAGTTGCGAGGAAATCTCTTTGTTTTTTCTCTTTACGTTTCACTGTGCTCAAGCCGCGGTTATCCGGAAATGTTTCTACTTCAATTAGCCAAGCATTTGTATCCAGCTGGCACAGCAAAAAGTTTCCATAGAAATCCGTATATAGATTCCGCTTTCCTGCCAATTAGCTTCCCAATTGTTTCATATTTAACAATGGGGGATCGTTGTTATACGGACATCCATGAGCCTACCCTTGCATTTTATCAAATATATTTAAATATTTTCAAGATTTCTTCTGCTTTCTTACACATTCTATAGTCGTAATAAGCCTCCCACTATTAGTGTAAACATTTGGAACTACTTTATATACAGTTAATCCTCAATTTAGGACCCCAAATTTATGTTGCTAAGTGAGACATTTGTTAAGAGAATTTTGCCACATTTTACGGCATTTCTTACCATAGTTAAGTGAATCACTTAAGCAATTGTTAAGTTAGTAACCCAGCTAGTTAGTAACATGGTTGTTAAGTGAACCTGGTTTCCACATTGACTTTGCTTATCACAAAATTGCAATAGCTAATCACATGATCCCAGGACATTGCAACCATCATAAATATCAACTCGTTGCCAAGCATCATGTGACCATGGGGATGCTGCAACAGTCATAAGTCACTTTTTTCAGTGCCATTGTAACTTTGAACGGTCACTAAATAAACTGTTGTAAGTTAAGGACTATTTTCTGTGATTGCATATTGCTCAGCTTGAATAGAGAATAAACTTTTGAAGAAAACTTTCTTCTGCAGAAAATTAGTTTTTAGGTGCTTCAAATGCTATTGCTCTAAGTCAATGATGGCAAACCTTTTAGAGACCAAGTGCCCAAACTTCAACCCAAAACCACTTATGTATTGCCAGGTGCCAGGTGAGTGTGGCCCCCCAGGTGAGTGTGGCTATAGTGGGTGTGGCCAGCTCATTGCTCCTGGAGAGGAATACCTGTGGGGGCCGGGCAGGGTTGGGGGAGATCCAGGGGATCTCTGGCTGGTGGGGCAGGAGGGCGTCTTGCTTAGCTGATGGCTTGGGGGGGAAGGGAGCAGCTACACCCCCACCCAAATGCTGCCCTCTCATGAAAGCAGGATGAAAACTCCAAAAAGCGATAATGAAAAAAAGTTAAAACAGAAGAGTGTCTTGCGATGGTTTTCTTCCCCACTTCCTTCTAGCTGTGGTTTAAATTTGTAAAGACCACAAAAGAAAGAACTTGGCTTTCTCTTGTTTTAATTCAGAAGGCAGGAACAGGAGGATTGGGGGGGGGGGTTGTTTGTTTCAAAGGAAGGGAAAGAGAGGGGCTGGGGGAGCGTTATACGTGAACAGTGATGGCCCAAGGCTTCTGGCTATGCAGGAGGGTGTTGGGGGCGCATTCTCTTTAAAAGAGCAAAATGAGGCAAAAAAATAAAAATGCCCCACTCACTCCACCTCCCCAAAACACAGTAACAGAGCTTTCAGTGATACAAACAGTCCTTGGAGGCCATCTGGGTGGGCTCACTGCCCCTCTGATTCCCCCCCCCAAGACACTTGGCAGAGCCTCTTAATCGCAGAACGCTGGGCAGGGGGGTCTCCCCTCTTGAGTCAGGGGTGCCAGTTCAGCAGCACCAAGGCTGATTGGCATGGTCTGTCTCACCCTCATGTCACTGTGTTTGTGTGAGCCCCGCAGCTCTTCCGAAAGGGGAAGGAGGAGAGTGTGGAGGGGCTGTGCTGGGATCGGGTTTCCTCATGCCTTCTGCTGCCCGCCTAGGCTCTTCTGCTGCAGATGCGGCTCCACTTTTCTGGCAGGACGGGGGCACGCTCGCGCATGGTGACACACAGGCTGCTGCCTCGCTTGCCATGCCAGGGCTGGGCTGGGCTGGGAGCCTCCTCGCCACTTCTTCCCTCGCGGACATCAGGAGTGCCCACCCCGCCTACCACTCGTCCCAAGGCAACTGCTGCCGTCTGGTGCTCTCCACCCATCGCCGGCCAGCCGGGCATGCCAGGCTCGGGCCTTGGACTGATGGAAGCTGGAGGGGAGAGCCGCAGCTGCCCGGCTCCTCCGCCTGAGGATGCATGCAGGGAGAAGCGCCGCCCAGCTTGGTAAGCCGCGGACCGCCAGCAGGAGGATGGAGGAGGGCTGGCCAGGGACAGGCGCAGCGCCACCCGGGGGGGGGGGTGGAATCTGACCAGCCCCCGCCTAGGGGAGGAGAAGCCAAGGGAGCCCGAAGGGAGGCAGGCCTGGTGCTTGGTGGTAGCTGCTCTCGCCCCTCCCCCCATGCTTCCACAGAAGGGTTGGCTGGCTTCGGCATCATCTGGGCAGGCCTGGCTGCACATCTATCAGTGGCACTGGTGGGCCTGGCCTTCCTCCCCCTCCCCTTCCTCTCTCTCTCTCCCTTTCTCCAAATTCCAAAGCTAGGTGCCCTTCTTCCCTCACTAGCCTTCTGCAAAGCGCAGATGCCAATCCTACTTGTCTCCAAACTCATGCCCACCATTGCTTCCAAAGGCTGTCTGTTCACTCACTCGCTCTCACTGCACTCCTGCCAAAACCTGCTCCTTTTATAGTTCCCCTCTCCCCAAGTGTGGTGATTCCATGCCAGCCTGTGTTCCCAACAGCTGAGTCCCGGGAATCAGAGGAGGAGGCAGCAGCTGCGGAGGCAGCATTTGGAGAGCCATCAGAGTCAGAGGGAGGCTCTGATGAGTTACAAGACTCACAATCTGATGAAGAGCCTGGCCCCTCCAATCATGTTCTGGATGAAACTCAGCTGTGTGGGGAAGATGAATCAGACTTGGAGGATTCACAGCTGGTAGACATTATTGATGCTCGTAGACACAGGCAATTATCTAGAGCAGGTCACCAGCAGTCAATAGGACAACTCCAGGGGGGGGGGAGAAGGCATTGAGAAGCCATGCCTTGGAACTGCTTTATAAAAAGGGAAGGTGTGGGCAGTGCTGGTTGCTGAAGGTGACCGTTTGTAAAGAACTCCCAGGGATCATGGTCTGTTTGTTTTACCAGTGAATTTCTTGTTTAACTCTTGCTCTGTTTGCTTTTGTAACTAATTATCTGCTAGGAAAGTATTCTGTGTTTTTGTTTTGGAGAAAAACTTATCTGGACTGTTTTGGAAATAAAAAGAGGTTGGTTTTTCCAGCTTACTGTTAAAGAGGGGTTTGTTCTTGTGACACAAGGACGGACATAGGCTGGGACAGAACACCACCCAGTTCTCACAGCTATTCCTGGGAGAGCGCTGCTGGATTTGGTTTCCCTGCCCTCTCCAGTTCCCGCTAGTCAGACGCACATGGAAAGAGGGAGGGAAGTGTTCCTCTGGCATGTGTGCCCAGTCTGGCATGCGTGCCATAGGTTTGCCATCATGGCTCTAAGTTTTCTCTTTTGTCTAAGTTCATTTGGGGCCCCAGCTAGATGGCAGTATATAGTCCAGTGGTGGTGACCCTATGGCACGCATGCCAGAGGCAGCACTCAGAACTCTCTTTGTTGGCATACGCGCCACTGCCGACAGCAGGTCCATCAGGGCGCCACCACTGCCAGGAGCAGGAGTCCCATGCAGCACAAAGGAGGTGAAGCGGCCAACTAGCAAGCTCGAGTAGAGGTGGTAAAGCAGAGGTCACCAACCATTGTCGATTGGTGGACTGGAAGGGAGGGAGCTTTTTAAATGTGCATGCACGCACAGGGCCGCGAGCACGCACATGCTGCAAATGGGGCAAGACTAGTGCCTGCATGATGGTCACATGCTGATGCGGCCCTGGCACTTTGCAATAAATAAGTGGGTTTTGGGTTGCGGTTTAGGCAGTCGATCTCTAAAAAGTTCGCCATCACTGATATAGTCCATCTTAATGGCTCTTGGCGCTAATGAAGTACAATTGATTAGTACTTCTGTGGGAAATTAAGTTCATCCCAGGATTGTAGGTTGGATTATGAAGTGACAAAACTATCCCAGAAGGCAACAGAAATGAATTTTGTACCCTTGTCAAGGAAACTACAATAAACATCCTTGAAGCCACAGTAGACTTGACTAAGTTTCTTGTTAGTGCTTATTTTGATCCACTGCAGGCAGTCCTCTATGACAATTGGGACCAGTTTGTTGTCGAGCATAGCAGTGGTAAAGTGAGTCGGACCTTATTTTATGACTTTTCACCAGGTTCATAAAGCAAATCACTGCAGTTAGGTGAATCATATGGTTAAGTGAATCTGACTTCCCCCAGCTGTGGTCACATGACAATCACATGACCCTGGGATGCTGCAGCTATTGTAAATACATACCTGTTTCCAAGTGCCAAAATTTTGATCATGTGACTGGGCAGGTGGTGACAGTAGTTAAGCCTGGTCATAGTTCACTTTTTTCCAGTGCTGCTGGAGGACAACCTGTAGGGAAGTCTTCCATTGGATACGCCAATTTCCATCTCGCATATTATTATTCTGCCAATATTTATCAATCTCCCCACCCCATCCCCATTCTTTTTTTATGAACAGATCAGATGTGTCCATGTTTTTCTTGCATACCAAACTTCTTTCAGTTTGTTTGAATTACTGCAAACTATATGGCAAAAATCCTTCTATACTTATAAATTTAAGGATGAAATATTTGCTCCCAAGTTTCTAAATGCACCAGATATTCATAGTTTCTAGGATAGCTGGAACTGGTATTTTCCATTTTGGAAATGTTCTCCATGTTTGCTTTAGCACTCCCTCATGCTAACCTGTTCATAACTCTGGGACTACACAGCAATTCTTATAGGGTATATATCAGAATTTAATAAATGTAATGTCCTGTTGCAGGGGTGTTTAAACTTGGCTCTTTTATGACTTGTGGACTTCCAAAATTATTCAACCAGGCATGCTGGCTGAGGAATTCTAGAGTTGAAGTCCACAAATCATAAAAGGGCCAAGTTTGAAAACCCCTGTCCTATTGTGATCCTTGAGATCTCAAAAACTACTCTTTTCATTTCCAACACTTCCATGTGCTTTAAATTATAAACCTTCAGAGTTAACTTTTTTTCTTTTAACTTCCTGGCAGTGCCTCTGCCACCAAGTCTTATGATCCACAAATTTGCCCACATGAAATGTTTGTATCCTAAATCCAGCGTTACCCTTAGCCTCTCATCTTCCCTTATATGTTATGCACAATCCTTCTTAGTTTATCTGTATAATATTACATGTATGATTCCATCAATCCTGCTTATATCTGCGTATTATGGGGTAAGTTGTATTTTTAAAGGCATCAGGTTGGGAAAGATCATCCACATTCAGTTATGACTCTGCAGTTACATTAACTACAAGAACATTTGTTGGGAGTTTTGACAAAGGCATCTTTCATTCACTGAACTTCCTCTTATTCTGAAGTCAAGATGGAAAAACAGCTATTCTTTTTTGTGCTGCTTTTACACAATTGCAGTTCTGACATTATTGTTGCAGATTTTTTTCACCAGTATGAATTGAGCTTGGGAAGTCTTGAGCCAGGAATTTCAAGATAATGGATCTTGTCTTTATTTTATGGTTTAAAAAGAAATCTTGTTGGTTTGCTGTATAGTAAAGTTAGTATGTTGCTTTAATTTTTTAAAGAAACCGGATGAACTTAACCAAAAGAAAAAAAAAGTTAAGTCTAGCTTATGTCTTTGTGTCTTTAATCCAAATATGCACAGAAAAGATCCTTAGTTTAATTTTGTAATTAAAGAGGAAAAGATGAGAATTCAGAAACTCTCAAGTACACATCTCAGACAGGGCTAAATTGGGAGAATAATTATGTTAAACACAAAAATACAAAGAGTGATCTAATCAAAATGTGATTTAAGCATAGCATTATATGAAGACAGATTTGATTATACTTACAAGTCAAATTATTATCTCTTGGATAATAGCAGCACCCTTACATTGTTATGAAATGTTTCCAAACTGACAAGACACAGAAGTTGCAAACATCGTTTATTTTTTGAACATGAAAGAAGCCAAGTCTATACATAAGCAAAAAAAAGCACATCTCCATAAAACTTGGGATAATAAAGAATAAAACTACTGGGCCAGAAGTTTCTGAAGAAACATAAAACCAGAAAGGACAGCTACACAGAAAGAACATGTGGGCTTAAAAATCTACAACTACCCTGACCTACAGAAACAGATGCGACTCCTCTTCTCTTGAGCAAACAGAACCAAAACCAAAAGTCCCATTTGGATACAGGAGCATTTTCAGAGAAAGCAATCACCACTTGAGAAGAAAGCTGTCATGGAGGCCGACTGTTGCTTTTGTCAGCTGTTCATCTAGGCTGGTATCAGGATTAGGAAGAAGTTCACAAGTTATGCCAAAACATGATGCTCTTTATCTTCTTATGAAACAGATGAAACAGATGTTAAAACTGATCTTGATTCTCAAAACAATTTATGTCTAAAAAACTCACCAAGAGTAGTCCAGTATATTTGAAGGGACAGTGATTCCTTACTGGGGGATTCAATAACAGCTTCTTCCTCAGTGGTTTTAAAAAATGAATCTCTATATTGTTCCCACTAGGAGTAAAAAAGGAGTCAAATTGGAGAGCATAATTAGCTCAATTTTATTAACTGTTATTACCATATCAAAACAAAAAAATCAGTTAAGTACAAGGGCATAAAATCTGTCAAATAAAAAACAGAGAAGACGTTCAAATCTGTATAACCATTATCTAAGTAATCATTTTAGGGAGAAGCAACTTAAAATGGAGATATTCAACACCAGTTTTTTTCCTTGATGAAAATTTGGGAAAGAAGTGTTTATAATAAAGGGAACCTCTATACTGTTCCCATTAGAACTTGTATAAAAAAAATCCAACTGGAGAACATGATATATATAAGGTTTCTAGATTAACTCAGATTAATTATCCTTTCAATACAAAAAAGAAAACCATCAAGTATCTCTGCGAGAACAAGAGATAAAATTTATCAAGAAAAAAACTGTTCAGACCATTTATAACATTATCTAAGCCAGTATTTCTCAACCTCAGATGTGTAGACTTCAACATCCATAGTTCCCCAGTACCATGCTAGCTGGGAAGTTGCCACGGTTGAAAAACACTGATCTAAGCAGTCAAAATCTACAATAACTCTCCAATAAAAGCAGAGAGGTGCAGAAGAAGCGGACAAAGGGGGACCAGAAGAGTGGAGGGGGTTGAATGAGAGTAGGTTAAAGTTGGCAGCTCCCTCATTTTGTCTCCATGGAATGTGGTCCATTGAAACAAGAAGTAAAACTTTTAGATTGCCATTCCCTCATCCCCACTGCTACTATCAGCCTTAGAAGACATAGCCTCACCCGGATCAGTGACCGGGGAAACATGGGAAGAAAGAGTGTTTTCTTTTTGTGGCTCATCAATGTTGATTGGTTCACGCAGCGCTGAAAATTTCCGGTCACCAAAGGAAGCACTCAGTTTGGCTTCAAAGAAGCGTTGCAGAACAATGATGGACTGAACATCCTCCTTATCCTACAGAAAAAAAGGGGGGGGAAAGGGGGAGACAGTAAAACATTTGAATCCTGCCCAACTGATACCACCAGCCAAGATCAGTGCAAGAAGAATGTGCCACATGTTCCCAGATCTCATATATCCTCAAGTATGTGACATGTATTACATCAAAATCAGCAGTTGTAACTACTGCCAGAAATTGATGCATCCCTTTGCAAACAGACGCAGTGATGTATTTGATATTTTTCAAATTACATTCAACTGAATATTCTAAGAGGCCAACAGAGAAAAAGATAATGTCAAGGCTGCAACTTCCTTTAGGTTGCCACAGTTGAGGGAGGGGGGAAATGTGCTTTTAAGGTTAGACAAAACAATTTTACTGTCGAAACCAAGGTCATTGCTGCTTGGATTTTGGCCATTTTCCTTAGAAAGCCAGCCAAGTAGTTTATTGGGGAATGTGATTAATGACATATTACTGGGGTGGGAAGTTCAACTTTGTAACCTTTGGGAGGGAACTTCAATCTTGGTTTCATTTTTGATCTGGGATACTTTGTAGCCCCCAAAATATGTTCTTTAAGGAAACCTCTTGCCTTGGAGTTCTGTTTTTACTAGTCTCATCTATCGGAACTATGACAGATAAATTATAAAATAATTTACATTACAAAATGTAATAGGGATTTAATTACAAAAATGTAAGTAGGGATTTTAAATAATGATTGGATCTTTCCTTCTCTAAAGCAGAAGAGGGGGAGGGTATGCAACTCAGGAAAGTACTTTACTTGCCAAGGAATGTCACATGTGAATGTGTGCCTAATTAATGGGTGAGTGGCCTCTAAAAGTTTCTAAGAGCCTTATCTAGCTTCCAGACAAGTTTATAATGTAACAGGCTATTCTTCAGACATTCTCAACACATCTTAAATTAGATTTGGAAAACAACTGGCAATCATAGAAACTTTTCAGCACAGGAATCATGCAATCCCATTATGATACACTAAGAGATTGCCTAGCTGTTCTATCTTGCACCATGTGAAGTGTCCACATGTCAAGGAAGGCTGGCTTACAGCTTGCCAGTTTATCTCATTAATTTCATGATTGTCCTTATGAGAAAGCCTCACCTCAGTCAACTTGTTAAACTGCCTAAACATCTTCCAAACATCATCTGCAAAATCATCAGGAGATGTGTAGGGTGGTGACAACTTCCGCTGTAGCTTTGCTCTAATCAAAGTCAAGTCAATTGTGTTCTGCCCCTCCTGGAAAATAAAGTAGAAAAGAAAACTTTATGGTTTTATCCTCAATATTTTATCAAAAGGTGTGCCAATCATATGCATTTTAGAAGTCCACAGCTAACTTTTTTCAATAACTTGTAATGGTAATTTGTGAATATGGTTGTAAGCAGCTCTATCAAAAACAAAAGCATTTTATTTATAAAAATATTCTTAAATTATTATTTTTAATATATGTGTTTATAAAATACCCCATAATGCTTGTATTACTGTAAACTTCAACATTTATACAAATATACCAGTATGTTAATTAATAAGAACAGACCAAAATGACAGAATTAAGGAGTCAAAGCGTGAAGCACAGAATTAGATTTCTTCTTTGACGCTAATACTTGCCACGCATGTTAATTTTTTTTCAACTACATAAGTTGTGTTACAATCAAAGATATTTAAATTTACTCCTCTGGTTCATAAAATACATAGCTCGATGGGAAAAACTCACTGGAGTGTTGGAAAGCCGGTGAAGAGGTCTGCATGGTTCAGAACAAAGTAGCTCAAGGAGAACTCGTTCACATCTCTATAGAAAACAAGGTGCAAAGCTAGATTAATATCTGGTCTTACTAACGAATGGAGATCATTTGCTGTATTACACATCACTTCCTTATAATCAGACATAATTGCCAGTAGATTTAAATAAACCAAGAGGATTTTTAAAAAATAAAAACAAGCCTCCACTCTAAGTTATTCTGAAAGATCTAACTTGCTTGATTTTTGCAGTCTTTCTACCTCAGAGACACTACAAGGAGACTACAGATTTATCAGAAATTTCTCATTTTCTTCCCTAAACTTCATGGCTTTTATGTTTTAGATATAGGTTACAATTAACATTTTAGTTAACAAATAAAATTATAAACAATATATTGTCCAGTAATTAATCACAGTATTTTACAAACTTTCCTTCTGTATAATGTAGAAATCCTACACTAACATTTGCTGCCTTTATTTAGAATAATTTATAAGGAGGAGCTGGTAGTGGCATCTGTAAGTCATTCTTAACTTCTGACAATTTTCTGGACTGCCCCTGTAGTTCTTTTGGCAAAATTTTCAGAAAGTGTTTGTACTCCCTGCTTTTCAGGATTGAGAATGACTAGACCAACTGGCTAGACTAGAATTCATGACCTCCCAGTTTCTACCCTATTTAACTTTCTTTCTTGTCAATGTTGCACTGTCCCATTTGGTAATGGGATTCAAAGCAAAAATTTGGCCTGGTCTTTCTAGTACAGACCAGGCCTTTGGCTATCCTCATCCAGTCTGCATGTGGTCAATTAGGAATTAGAAATCAAATGTAAATAAGTGCTGGGGGAAGGAGAGGCCATAGATGTCATGGTTCCGAAAGTAGAAGCTCTTCAAAGAACTTTGAGACATTATTTTCCTTAAAGAATCTTTCTAATTACTACATAGCTTCAGCACTTACATAGTGAAACCAAAAACTGAATTCTCCTTGCCCAATCATCCGTAACAAAGCATAACTCACTCCTTCATTTAACAGTCATCAATCACATTCTCCAATTAGTTTGAAGTGTGAACTTTCCCTCCCGTATCTCCTCTGGTTACAATGAACCTTGAAAATACTGTACTGAAATATTGTTATGGCTAACTATTCCCTGAATACATACTTTCCCCCCCTCCCTTCCAACATTGTCTAACTTTAACTCCAGAAGTGATACACAGGTTAAATAAAACATGTCTGCTTCTTCATATATTGTCAAGCAAGAACATCTGATGTTCGCAGCCTTGACAATAGGAAAGCAAGGAGAGAAAGCACTTTTCCGCTGGAGCAGCTTGAAAGCCAGAAGAGAAGTTACAAGGCCTGGCTGATCTGAGACGAGATTGCCTCTTTCCTCATCATGTCAGTGGCTAAAATCACCAAGAAGGAGCTCAACTCTAACCATGACTGGGCTGAGGAGATCTCCAACACAAGGAGCAACAGGAAGCAATTGAACATTTTAATGAAGTACAGAATGAAACAGATGAAGGAAATAAGAGTTATTCTTTTATAAAATATAACAATAAAGTTCTAATGTAACAATGTATGAGACTATGTTTAGCACAAATGTATTAATGTAATGTAAATATAACAATGCAATGACAATATATGGGAAGGAATGTTTACTGTCCATGTGAAGGGACCACAAAAAGTAATTAGCAAAGATAATTATGATCAACTTGAGTGGAAATTACAAATAAACAAAGATAAGATCACAGAGTGGAAATTACAAATAAACAAAGATAAGACCACAGCGGATGGAAGGAAATTGCCAGGATGATTTTTAATGTAAAGCAACTTCAAAGAATATAGAGAAGGGAAGTTGGGAGGGTTACTTAGGCATAACTGCATTGTAGAAGTATAAAAAGTATAGCTTGGAAACTGCTTATTGCGCTCTAGGAACTCAATCCATTGGAAAGAGTTCAGGAAGCCCGTTTGCAAACGCCTTTCTTTCCTATTATTATTTTTGTTATATTTTTCTCCAATAAAACTTTGTTTTTGTTAACCAGACTTGTCTTCATATTGTGAGTATCAACATTTGGGATTTTTACATATCACACAGACAAACTGAATTCTATGCCACATTTTTATAGCCTTATTGTAACATGTATTCTTACCAGTAACAACTAATCAAAATAATATAATTTACTGCTTTTAATAAAGTAATAAAAGTAATATTGAGCAGTATTAAGTTCAACCTATTGGTTCAGCTCTCCACAACAGTCCCAAGATCTCATATCGTAATTAATTGGGAAAATTGCCCACTCCTGTTCTAAAACTAAAATATACTCTATTATGGGCAAATTGCACTAAGCCTTGCCTCATTCTTTGGAATGTGTGTGGGTAAAGAGACTAGCTAGAAGCTTACCACGTCCTATTCTAAATCTTCAGCTGATCCATCCATCATACTCCAATAGGCTCTGGATACTAACAAGATCAGGATTTCAATATTTGATGTCTTTTATTGTCTCAAACCAATTCTGAAGAGTGCATTTAACATCAGAGCATACTATTTTCCCTGCAATCAGTGTCATCTCATCTCTCAGACCAACCTTTTGATCAACATTTGACAACATTTTTGGTTCTCCGTCTTTGAAGATTGCAGCCAAGTCAGTCCCATCTTCTCCAATGGCTATTACTGGATCAGCACATAGTAGACATTTCCAATCCTGGCTGCAAAATGAAAAATATGTATGAGTACATGTTAACTATACAGATCACTTACAGCTACAAGGCAGGCAATGGGGCATCTATACGCAGAAAGGTATAGCAACTGTACCCAATAACTATTCGTTAAAGATTGCTTCAAAGTGATGTTATCATCTTTATTCTTCCAAGAATGCTTTTAGGCCCTTCTACGTAAATCCAGATACAACTAGAAAATACTTCTATTGAAAACAGTTGTAGAAAGAGTCTTAGGCTTTAGGGCTGCCTGCCTTACGTTCAGGTTCTTGAACAGGTAAAATGTTATTTTGCCTGGCAAATTTGACTTTCTATGAAATAAATGAGCTCAACCATTTGTACCGACATCAATTATTTTCTAAAATTAACAATTAAATCAGCGCTATACCTGTCATCACTGTTTTGTCATATTTCTTCCCAAAAAATTACACTGATCGCCTATTCTATTCAGACCACTAGTCTGAATATAGCACAATGTTCAAAGTCATAGTTGTGGAACTTTATTATTCAGGAAGGTATTTATTTGCTATTAGTGGATGAGTACTTATGCTTTTTATTAATGTTACCCAAAGATTTTCTTTGAATATTGAAAGATTCTACTATACTACTCAATCACAACTTTGCGGTATGACCTTAAGATCTAAAAATATCTATTGTCTAAAAAAATCTAAAGTATTTTACATCTCTATTACTGCATGCACCATAAATATCATGCAAATTAAGGATTTCTCAAAAATGAGATAATACATTCAATCAATAACTATGGTTCTAACTTCAGGGAGCTTGTCTTTATGGGAGATTTCAATTCTTATTTCATCTTTAATTGTTAACATATGTAAGAGGAGCACTTTTCCAAGAATCCCGTTTCTTGTCATATACCTTTGCAAGAATAGTACAAGATGAAGACCTTAAAGCAGTGACTAACTTATTTCAACTGAGTCTCCAAACTTCATAGCAAGCCCTGGCTGTACGTTCCCATCACCAAGTGCCTGAGATCATATTAGAACAATTCTTACATTGTCTGAAAAGGGTGCTTGTTTCATTTCCAAATCTTATCTGGCTTAGAAAAAAATGAAACAGACAGCTATTGTTGTACCATATGAATTCCTATCAGGCAAAGGAACTTTGGAGGGTTAGCCAAAAGGAGAGAAAAGATAATAGTTATAATGACATAGACATTGCAGCTCATCTTCTGGGTTTCCGGTTTTGCTGCAACTACATTTTCTACCTTCTATGACAAGAAAAACTGCACGCATAAAAGCCTATACCCAGGGACTTCCTGAAGGGCAGGCAGATGACAATCCAGGTGGTAGCACTTTTTGCAGGTATCACACATGACCACAGCACCAGCTTTCATGCAGATCCTACAGCAAGCATTTTCCTCCCCATTAGCTGTGCCATCATGGCTGTGAACGGACTGTATTTCCATTGCAGAGCTGGTGCTGCCACTGGGGGAGATCAGTCGGGGGGCTGCAGAACCTTCTGGAAGGAGGGCATCCTGGTGCAAGACAACTGGCTTCGTGTCTTTAGTATCTGCAGCAGAAGCAGGATGCTCGATAGCTGCCTCCATCTGCTCCTCCTGGAGGATAAGAAGAGAGTGACAATACGTAAGAAAAATAGCAAAATAGAAAAAAAAGCAGAGCAAAGGGGGGAAAAGCAGCAAAAGGAAACTCATTAGGGCAGATAATTTAAATTTGATCAGCTGTAGCTCAAAGAAGATAATTCCTTTCCCCCTATTTCATTTTAATTCAAGCTACCTGATATTAGACTAGGCCTCTTTTGGCCTATTCCTGCTTCCATACTGCAAGAGCTGGTGCTGGCACTTCATAATATATGAAACGGAGTACAGCTGGATTAGCTTTAAGACTTCTATCAAGCAACCAAACATCAGCCTGCTGTTTCTGCCAACTTATCCAGAAGTAGACTATTCTAAAAAACAAAACACTCAATGCTGACCTTCACTGCAGCACCTGCAGTTGGTAGCCCTGCTTGTTGGGTAGCAGCTTGCTGACCTCCTTGTTCAATCACAATGAGATTGTAATCTTCACGGGAATTGCCCGGAAAGACTTTGAAGACAGGTGGTTGGTTATCTGATGTCAAGTCCACATCCAGCCTCTCCAGACTAACCCGGGGCACTTTCCGCACAAGACCAGTTTCTCCATCCTGGACACGGGCTCTAAGAACATGCAGGGATCATATTAGGTTACAAGCCAGAACTAATTCTAGCACAATAAAATCCTAATTCACTGGGCTAAATTAAACTTCATACCAAAATGTTATCATTTTTTTTTTACAAGAACTAAGACTTATTTCACAGTAGCTAATCCAAAGTGTATCTCCAAGTTGGGATCCTTTTGCTTAAGACAATTATCTTATAGGCCTTTCTCCATGGAGAACCTTGCTTCTGATTGTAGATCCTGATTGTACAGTTGCATGGAGTTCAGCAGTACATTTTTTAGTACTGTTACCTTTTGGAGAAGGAGGGTATCTTGTTGATTCAACTTTAGAATACTCAGATCTTATACATTACTCTTTCCTGTAGTTTGTGCCAAGCAAGGGAAAAAAGTTTATACAATTTAGCTCCATGGCAATGCAATTTAGTATTCTCAATGGCTGTTCCCCATCTACTTTCAGAAAAAAAAAACAAATGTATTATTTATAAATTAATCTTATCTCTTTTCTGTACAAAGTATTCTAAGTAGCTTATAAATCTAAAAGGAATGTTGTCATCAGAAAAAAAATTATGAAGATTTGCCATCACTCATGATCACAGACATAAAGTGGGGGGAAGGGTTTTCGCTATTCTCCATATGTGGAGTTCATATTGATGAGACCAAATCCTTTCAATTCATCCATAGTAAACTTCTACAATTAAAGTATTCTCTGTTGATCAGGGGTTCCCAATCAGGGGTGTTCGTACTCCCTAGGGGTGCGAGATGATATTCCAGGGGGTGTGAAAACTTCCATTTAGAAGTTTCAAAATTATAGTGTATATGCATAATTCATTTTGAACTTTTGTAAGGGGTGTGAGAATATATCAGAAACATTCTAGGGGCGCGGGGTATAGAAAAGGTTGGGAACCACTGCTGTAGATAGTTCAAATGCTTCTTCAGTTGCATTTCCTGTATTCTAGTATATACAGATACAGGATATGTAATAAGACATGTTTCTCTGGGGTAAAATGAAATAATTTCAACAGTTCAAATAACCAATTTCAAGCTCCAATCTACTCTAAGATTTCGTTCTCAATAAAAAGCCCTGAATGCCAATACTGCTATCCATAATCAAACAAACTTTTGTCTGTAGGCCAAGACCTTGTTTTCTGTCATATAACGGAAGGCATGCTTAGGAGTAAAAAAATGAAATGGATGTTTGAAAGTCCCAGTACTCAAGACATCTGGAACTATTGCAGGATGGACTCTAGCACTCTAAAAAGATATAGCAAAACAGAAACAAACATGATTTACCTTTTCATTCCAGACACTTCACCAGAATACGATCCTTCTGTTGTTTAAAAAAAAAAAAAACAAGTGTCAAGAAGCTTATGAGTCATCCACATTCTATCCTCCCAATAAAAAATCACTGAGATTTTTTGCCCAGTACTAACATTTTATTTCTATCAAGCCACAAGCAAAGTGAAATGACAACCCAAGAACAAGTTTTCCCTGGCTTTGCTCTAGACTTTTGTTGAACACACCACTTTCCCCTTCATATTCCTTACCTACACCAAAACCATCACCCATGTCCATTGGCTGAAAGAAATGTAAGAAAAAAAAATCATATTAAATGCAATACACGGATAAGTCCAAAACTGTTTCCTCACCATCTTTTAGCAATGTATATTTAGTTGTTCTTGGCCTTGTATAAAACAGGCCCCCCGACTGCAGGCTTTCAACTTAATATTTTCTCTCCTAGGAAGAATCAGCACCAGCCTAGCTTCCATCTCCTTTCATGAGTGCATTATCAAGCATGCTCGTGCATTAAGGAATCTTCCTTGTCCTATGTTCTGCTCACCTGTCCAGCAGAAGAGGCACTGGCATCATTGATATAGCAGTCGGGGATGGCCTGCCGCTGGCTGTTGGAAGGCAGCACAGGCTGAAGCAAAGCTCCCTTATTCATTATGCTTGTCTGCAGAGACATCTGTTGGACACCCTACATAGAAAAGTGCACCACGAAGCCTGTAACTGCCCTGTTAGCATCTCCCAGATTGTAAAGACGGGTTGACCAGCTGAAACTGCTGGTTCAGATGCACCAGGCTATCACTGGAGAGAAAACTGCACAAACAGAAACCAGTACCTGAGAAGGCGGGACAGAACCTTGTCTGACTGCCACTCCCGATGCAGCAGAAGCAGCATTAGTCCGTTGTTGGGGTGTTTGGGCATTAGCAGTGACCGGCAAACCACTCCGTTCTGAGACTATCTGACCTGAGAAAAAGAATAAAAATCTAAATCTGGCTGGTATTTCCAGTCCGATATCAACTTTCAATTAATGCTTTGGAAAACTCAGGATTTTCCACACTCTCTAACTTTGCCAATCCTTACCATTTCTATCCTGATGCACTCCCTTGAAGTACAGCTCAAATCAAAGACTCCAACATCTTCCTGAACAGGAAGCATTTCATTTCACCATCACTTACCAAATGTCTCTGCACTCTTGATCCAGGCATTTAAGTCCCACTGGAATTTCATTTCTCCATGAGGTTCCACGGGATCCACAATCATCTTCAGAGCCCTGTGCAGCTGAAAATAAATCTAAAGCAAGAAAAAAAATGGGAGAGGATAAGATAGAGGGACAAATACCAATTATATGTGAAACAACAATAATATCTTATGTTCTGCACTGCCATTAGATACATGAAAATAGAAAAACTGAGGCAGACCAGGTCAGTTAACACTTAAACTTCATTTTTTCCCCATTTATTAATCAAGGGATATTTACCAATTTCTTTGAAAGCAGCAATGCAGTGTTATTGTCACTCTCCAAGGCCCAATTAGCAAAGCGCAGGATATGTTCTTGGTGACGTTGCAGCTTAGTCATAGCCCAATGCTGCCTCTCCAGTTTCTCTTGTTGACCCTCAGTGACTTTCTGCAAAACAGCCAAAAGTAGATGAAGAAACAAAAGTGGGAAATACATTCACATAATCAATGCAGATGAGGCAGCCTTTCCTAGAAATTTTACAGTGATAACATGCAAGCTCCTATGACTCTGTGCTATCCTGTCCCTTATAGATCCAAATATATATTTTTTTCTAACTGAAAGCAGATCCTGATAATAGGAAGACAGCATAAGTACCTAGCGTAGATCATTGGTTAGCAAAAGGTTAAGCCACAGTAGAATATGGTGTAAGCTATTCAAGAGATGTTGCTCAAACTAAAAAAGAAATATCATTTCTGGAGACTGTGGTACTAGGGATGGTTTATACCTCATTTTGCCACCAATCAAAAGCTACAAGGACTTAATTAAGAGGTGAAAGACTAATAAAATTTGATTAATTCCTGAATATTTCAAGAAATAAAGAGAATGCTTAATACATCTTGTATTAAGGTTACAGATTTTAATCTTCCATTTGTTTTGCATGTCACAATTATCTAATGTGGATTCAGGGCTTCTGCAAATCCAAGAGTTTGAGGAAGCTTGAGGAAGGGGAATATCCAATTCTTTATCTTTCAAAAAGCTTCTTGCATAGGGAGCGATTATGTAATACATAGAAAAGAGGCTTTTCCCCACAAAATGGGAAGTGAAATCTAGCTGTGGGATTTTGCATTCACTGGAGGACAGATCACTAGTCATTTGTTTGATTAAAGAAAATGAAAGACAAACAAAAGGAAAAACAGTGAAACAATGCACTGTAAAGGTAATTGTTAAAAATCTGGAATATTTTAAAAGAATGATAAAACCAAATCATTTCATCATACATCACAAGTCAAATACTGTTTTACTTCAGTAGGGACGATTTAATCACTTGTGCCAGTATGAAATGTTCAGATGCAGGAAACAAATTAAAAACACAACAAATGCAGGAAACAGATTAAAGACACAACAAGAACAAAGAAGGGGTCTACAATGGTTAATGTATTTTCAAATAATGGGGGGGGGAGAAACAACATTTAAAAAAGAAGGTATCTTGAGAAAGACAAAATAATTTAAAACACATATAGAAAGTCAAGTTTGTTAGATTGTATCTATACATTGGAACTGAAACACTACACTGAGACAGCAATCAAAAATTGTGACAAACTCAATACGAAATTTCAAAGAAGTACAGTGGATTAATGGAGTTATGGGGGTTCCATAAATTCCATCCAAGTTCTAATTTAAGAAAAAAATGAATAAAATGTTTTATAGATATTATATAATTGCATTGTTAATTCTCAAGATGGACAAATTATATAACAATAAATAATGGAAATATCATAAAAAGGAACAATTTATCCTAAGTGAACATTAGGTCAATTTTTTAAAAAAAATACTGGAAATAAATCAAAACATTCAGGGAATTTAAAAATAAAATCTGAATTGAAATCACATGTATTTTTTTAAGAAAAAAATATAATGTATATATGTATAAATGCAAAGTATCACAACAGCAACAAGAAGCAATTATTTCAATTTGGGAAAGAAAAAGCCTGTCAAGAATCAAAGATCAAAATTGGGAGAATATGCAACCATAAAGAAATTATATATATTCACAACAGAAGTCAACCCAAACTCAAGAAGAAATGTGCCTTACAACAGATTATACAGCAAGGCAAACAAAGGTATTTGGAATGTAGCTTTTCAAAAAAGATACTAAAAGCAATTGAAAAAAATGACTTAAATTTATATAAAAGCTATTAAAGTTTAACATATAAATATCTAAGTAAGAGTGCTTGATAAAAAAATGAAGCAATTGAACTTTTTACATTTTAATTATACTGCTACCTTACTTCTTGCATTTCTATTTTTGATCTTCTATTTTTTTGTACAATCCTTATGTAGTAATAAAACTAATCAAATACTTAAAAAAGAGAAAATGAAGATGCTGACAAAAAAATGTATAGGATGGTATTGTATCCTACAACTATAGAAGTTTGTAGCTCAACATTACATACACAGCACTAGCCAATATTCTCTTTCCTGTCTTACCTGTGCATCACTAACCAGCACCTTAGCACGTTTATTGAGCTCCTTCATAATTTGCAGGATAGACATCTTCACGTCTACCTGCACACGTTTCTGCACATCTGCCACCTGCCGGATCCTATTGAGGCAATAACATAATTTTCTTACTCTACAATTATTTATAATGCAAAAAATGAAAAATACGTTGTTTCCAACCCAAAATAAAGATATTATTGTTTCAAGTAGGCTACTATTTGGAAGATGTTATTCCAGGTTTCAGCTGAAATAAAAACCAGAGCTTCTCAGGGGATAATTTATGCACTTTTCTGTTCTACATAACCTACATGTGTGGCAATCTTCCCAGCACTTTTCTTTTCCTACCTTCCTTAATTTGCCAACACTATAGGTTACAATCACAATTGGGACCACAATTTCCATTGCTAATCAAGGCAGCTGTTAATTTATGACCTTTTTGCCATGGTTAAGCAAATCATAGAAGTTGTTAAGTGAATCACATGGTCATTAAGTGAATCCAGCTTACCCCATTGACTTTTGCTTGTTGGAAGTCAACTGGGAAGATTGACCCCCACTGCAATCATTGTAAATAAATGCCAATTGCCAAGTGCCCAAATTTTTAATGAGTTTGGAAATGCTGCAATGGTTTTTGAGTGTGGGGCCTGTTCATAATTCACTTTTTTCCATTGCCATTGTAACTTTGAATGGTCACTAAAAGAATGGCTGCAAGTCAAGGACTACCTGTATCGATCTGGAATACTATTTCTGCGTGTCAAATGTGTTGTGCATACCTACTTATCTTTGGTGACAATCTTTTGTAGAAAGATTGCAATTGCCGCCTTTCATGAACCAGGATTCTTTCCGCTCAGTCATTCAGTTCCTGGTGATCTCATGGCTGGATTACTGTAATGTGCTCTACATGGGGCTACCCTTAAAGAGGACCTGGAGGTTACAGCTGATGGTGAATGCAAAGGGGTGGGCAGTTTTGGGGGTACCAAGAATGGCCCCTGCAATATCACAGTTTCATGAGCTGCATTGATTGCTGGTCTGCTTTCGGGTACAATTCAAGATGTTGGTGATCACCTTTAAAGCCTTCATGGCATAGGCCCGTACCATTCATGCTGGCAGAGGAGGCATGCTGCCCAATTATTCCACTTGGCAGGGTCCAGGAGGGTCTTCTCTCTGTTGCTCCTACCCTCTGGAACATCTTGCTCCCCCACACATGTGAGATTGTCCCCGATCTCCTATCTTTTCATAAGGGCCTAAAGATGTGGCTCTGCCAGTTGGCCTGGGACCCCAGTGGAGGAAACAGCACAGTAGAGGTAGTTGATCAATCAACAACAGATTCCCACCTCCTCCATTCTGCCCCTGTCCTTGGTTTTTAATTCTTGCTTTTACTTTATGTTTTAGTGTATGCATATTTTTGACAATAAGCCACTCAGAGTTGATATGATAAGGTAAACGGCCAATAAATTTTATAAATAAATAAAATACTTCACAGAAGGTTCTCTATACTTTAAAACAGACATGTCAAACACAAGGCCCGTGGACCAGATGCGGCCCGCAAAATAGTTTCATGTGGCCCGCAAAGCCATCCTGGAAACAGTGAGGGAACGGCCCCTGCTATCTTGGCCCTGGCCAGCCGGGAGCCAATGCACAACTTTGTGGCCATCTTGGCACTTGCCCCAGTGGACCATGCCTTGGCACTTGCCCCGGTCCCACCCCCTTCTGCCAGAGATCCTCATATCTGTCCCACTCCTGCCCAGGTCCCCCATAGGCACCCTTGACATGAATGATGTAGAACTGGCCATGCCCAACCAGTAGGCCACACCCACTCCATCCACGCCCACCCATTAGGCTGCACCCACTCTGGCCACACCCCCCCCCAGGAAACCGCAATGCTAATGCGGCCCTCAGTGAAATAGAGTTTGACAGCCCTGCTTTAAAAGATCATTGCTGTGAGAGCCCTTGAAAATGGGGCACTGAACACTGGGCCTTTTTTTTTGTTCCTCTTTGCTGACACAAACAGTTAACTTTGCTGTCAAAGTTGGCTCTCTGGACGCGTGCTCCCCACATTTGAATGGGAGAAACTAGAGATGACCCATGACAACCCTTGGATGGCTGTGTAATTGCCTGAGAAGAGAAATTTACACAACTGCAAGTAAGAGCAGTTGGGTCTCCATCTTTGTTTGTATTGCAGCTTTGCAGCTGTTTGTATTTTTAGGCATACTTCTGTTTTTTATATCACTTTTTGAAGCTTAATTTTTAATAGCTTGGCTGAATGCTGATTTGCCTATACCTTTTTGCTTGGTTGCAAAAGTAAAGTTTGTCATATTTTGAAGCTTTAAAGTATTTTCTCTTTCATTGTAAGGAAATTGGCAATCTAAGGGTTTTCTTTTTTAGTGAAAGTGATCTGATTTATACCAGATTTTTATTCTAAGGATGTTATTCTAAGGTTTTTGTGCTTTACTACTTTTTGTAAAAGAACTCTGTTGCTTTATTTCATTTTTATATATACTTTTTTCTTTATATATACTCTTGTTCTCTTGTTGTTTTTTACTCTCTTGCTGTGAGAATCATTATCTTAATTTCTTCTGTGGTTAGTTTGTTATAGAAATCTACTCTTTGTCCTTGATAAAAGAACTGCTTACACTTTGTCAAAGCTTGTGTCGACTCTACAACGAACCTGGTTGCAGCCATTTTCTTTGTTCTAAGTTTCCACAAGATTGGGAGGGAGATGGAGGATTTCTACTAGTCTAAACATAGTTTAACTTTGTAATATTGTTTCTCTCTGAAGGGAACTTCAGACTTGGTTTCACTTTTGACTGTGCAGATACTATGTAACCAATAAACATGTTATTTGAGGAAATCTCAACCCTTGGATTTCTGATTTATCTGGTCTTGTCTATCAGAACCCTTGATAGTTTGGTTATAAGGAAGACTGGGATTGTATTAAAACCAAGGCAATAATAAATTAAGAACTTTGAATATTATACATTCTATATGTTCTTTAATGTCCCCCCCCCCAAAGAGATGAGACTCAGATGATTTTAACATTAAAGCCTTCTTGGAAGCCTTTGTAAAAAAAATTGCTAACTTACAAGTTTAAATGAAAAATTCGCAAAAGATTTGATGAATTTGTCACAATTTCAAATCATCCTAAAAAAGATATCCAGGTACAGGCAACAGTAGTTAAATCAGCCATGCAATTGGATGAATTGGAAATAAATTTGCTGTTAAGATTTGAAAGACAAATTGCTTGAAAATTGGAGATTTGCTAGGGAAGGCTGAAAGGGGTATTAATGAACAGGACTTTCTTAGGAAAGTTGATGAATACTGTGGAATAGAACCGTCATATATAACAACTATCAGGAGACATGTTCCCATTTGCAGGGAAGTTTATTGAACAAGCGCTATGGACATATCTTCAATGCAGACCTACATTTTTTGGGAAGGAGAAGCAGATTCCATTTATAATTTTAAAGAAAAGTAATGATGATAGACTAGAAGTTATTTTTATTATAAAGAATCAATCAATTTTTGATCCTGGACGAATCAAAGACAATGACTGCAGTGGGTTTATGAAAGATTCGTGGCTACTTGTGTAATTTCTGCAGGTTAAATATAATAATAGATTGCTAACATAGGGCTTTGAAGTTTAACTTTGTTATTGGAACTATCTTTTACCTGCATTTTTATGTAGATAGATAGTAGGTCAAACTGATTGACTGATAATAGATTTCTATATTTATTATATTTTAATGATATATACCATTTTGCACCTATAGATGTAGAGGTTCATAAATTATGGACCTGTTTTGCAAGTGGGGGAACACTATAGCTGAAATATATGTATCAGCATTCAACCAGGGGACATTTTATGTATATTTGAATACTTTGTTCTATACAGTTTTTTTCTTTGTTTGGTATTCTTTCTTTTTTGATTCTATATTTTAACTTTGGAAATAAATATAAAATTTACCAAAAAAAATCATTTCTGGAAATATAAGGAGCAACAATCCAAAACAGTGGAAGATGCTAAGTTAGAGAAGACTAGGCTAGTAGCAGATATAGAACAATGCAGGAAAAGTTCTTTCCAAATAGGAGCTTTCTTAGATTCACAAATATTTATATTTTTATTATAAATTATTTATTAAATAATTATATAAATGGGTAAGTTCCATTATATTAGTTTTAAAGAACTAAAACCTGTTCATAGCTGGATAATCTTTCACAAGACAAATCTAAACATTGCCAATTACGATTTACCCACAGAACACACCACCTTATTTACAAACCACAATGATTGTGCTTAGACACAACACTAACCCAAAGTTAACAAACCATTTTATTGCTGTGGAGAATGTGCAATGAGAAAATTGGGTCTTTCACACAAGCTACAAAACAGGCCAGCTTCAAAAGGAGTTAAGGGAAGAAAAGAAAATAAAGTCCACATTGAGTTTGGTTGTTTCCTACATACATACATACATACATACATACATACATACATACATACATACATATATATATATATATATATATATATATATATATATATATATATGTGTGTGTGTGTTTTCTGAGGTTTTCGCGGGTATTTGTATATAGGTCTTTGGTTGTTCGGGTTTTCTCCCGCGTAAAATTGGAAGTGTCTTGGCAACGTTTCGACGAAGTCACATTCGTCATCTTCAGGCTGGTGTTTTTAGCTTCTTGCTTTGAGCAGCAATGTGTGGTTTTAGCTGTTTCTTCCTTTTAACTGCCAGTGAGGGTATGAACTGATTGGATGGGAGCTTGGCTGTGTTCCAACCAAAGACCTATATATATATAATATATATATATATTATATATATATATATTATATATATATATATATATATATATATATATATCATGTCTTTCTGTTTCAAGATTTAGGCATGTCAATGTTAATGCTTAAGGATCAGAGTTTCTTAACAAAGGACACTTACGAGGTGCGCACTTCCTTGGTTGATTTTTGGAGATTGGCATTTTTATCCCCAAGGCGCTTGACCAATGAAGCCAACATCTTGCGCTGATTCTTGACTGCATCCTCCAAGAACTGGTACCTACAGAGATATTATTTTAAACTTTTCAGAGTACACATTGTTAGTTTAGCAACCACAGGAGAGAGGTTTCCTAAACTATTTGACATTACAGGGAGTTAATGTTAATTGACAGCAATTGTGACCAATGTTTAGTGACACAGTCATAAAGTGTGACATCACATGACCATGCCACAGTCATGGCAATTCTGGCAGTCACAACTGCCTTTGTTAAGTGAGTATCACATGACTGCAACCTTTGACTTTCTTATGGCTTCTTATGGCTTCCTCGCTGAAGTCAGCAGGGAGCATCATTTGACTACAGTATCATGCCACAGTTGGAATTCCAAGAACCAGTCATAAGTACAACTTGTTCAGTATTGGCGCAAGTGCAGTCACTGAATAAAGGACTACCTGTATCTATTTCAACCAAGGCAGAGAAAGATTACTACTAGACATAAAGAAGACAATTTGCTAGACAGCACACAAATTCAATTATCTTCTAATACATTATATTGATTTTTTTTCCTTTTTCACAAAGTGGGAAAAGGAGAACTAAACTTATTAAAGCTGCTGAATACAGAGATAGTCTAATGTTTTATGTTTATTTAAAGCACATTTAATGGAAAATGCATATATGTACTCCAAAAAATAAAAGAGAAGCAAGATTAGAATGATCACTTGAAACTCTGTTCCTCAGAAACTGCAGCATTTGAAACGTCCTCAAACAGTACCTATCAATACTCAAAATAAAAATTTAAAATGCTCAGAATCTCAGGAAATAAAACTAAATCTCTTAAAATCACCATATTCCTATGCAGATATTATTATCATTTAAAAAATGTGTTAAAAGGAGAGTTCACAACACTGCACAAAGACAGACAGGAGTATCCGAGACCTGAAAGAACTACTAAGCCATGGCCCAGGATAATGAACCCTACACATTCTCATAAAACTGCAGAATCATCCAAAATTAATAGCAGTGATTATACAAGCTATAGAAAAGCTTACTGGTGATCTTTGTGAGCATTCAGCTGACAGTCCCGGCATGTCAGGGTGTCACAGGTGTCACAGAACAGAACGAGAGGCTCGTGTTTATGGACGGAGCAGTAGATAGTCTTCTCCCTTGCCTGCGATTTGGAGGAGCCTCAACAGAAACAGAAGCAGTAACAGAATGGTTACTTATAGTTTGGCCTTGCAGAGGCAAAAAGTATAGGAGATGCCAATGAGTATATGAAAACAACTTATTTCAGTGTACCAAATGTAGTAAGGTTCAAAGGATGTTCATTACTTTTCTCAGCCACAATTATTTTATGCCTTATCTGTTTAGCATATTCACCAAGTCAAGTTTACATTTATTTTTCATATCAGTCTTTGTGATTAGTCTCATGAGGCCTTCTCTTTGTGTTACTTCATACCTGTGGATCGGACTGTATGGTCCTTAGTGTACTTCACTCTCTGATGGGCCTCCACACATGTCTCACACAGAGGCTCTTGGCACTCCACACAAAAGCTGGTGGCAGGGGCATTATCTTCACAACTAGTGCAACACTAATAGGAAAAGGCTACTGATTAATCAATCAAATAACAACAATAATAATAATAAACAATAATAATAACAGGTCTCATCTCCAGCTCTGGAAATGTAGAGAAATAGACAAGCCACAAATATTACCTGATTAGCATCCCTAGGATCACCAAGAGCTTCCGTGTCACCATCCCTCAAAAAGTAGTTCTCCACAATGTCTTTAAGATAACATTGATGCTTGCAAACTGGACAATCAACCACTGGGGGATTAAAAAAGAGAATTTAAAATCTACAGGAATACAGAACAAAAGCAAACACTTCTTTTCAAATATCATTCTAACTATAGTTTCAGCAACTTTTCCTGATGGCAACTGATCGCTTTACAGTTAAAACCAGCACTTTGAATTGTATTTGGAAGCTTACTGGCAATCATTTCAAGATTCGGAAAATTATATTAATCTAACATGTGAAGATCTATACAGTCACACTCACATCTATTGTCAGTCTCTAATAAGAACAGGCAAATAAAAGTTTATGAGAGCTTGCTTGCTCGCTCTAGATGCATTCTTAAGTCTAATATAGAAACTACATCTATGGTTGATCAACAGTTTTTAAAATAGAAAGGGTTGAGAAACTTTATTTTATCAAAATACTGCTCAATTTTTCTTTGTTCCATTTCCTCAGCTTTCTATAGACTTTGTTTATAAAAATTCGGGGTAATATTGCTACTAATACTACTGATTACTTATATTTATGTCACACTCCTGCCAGAGATCATCCATGAGCGGGACCAATGCCATTTCTGTTCCATATTTGGGTCCAAAACCTGACTAATAAAAAGTCGAAGATTCTCTGGAGATGAAACACCACCACCTTCTCAACCACCTTTCCTAGAATGGGGAGAAGGGAAACTGGAAGAAAATCATCCAGAATGGTAGGGTCCAGCAATGCTTTCTTGAGTAGGAAGCACTCCTTTAAAAATCAGGGGACAATCCCTCCAATAAAGATGAATTCACTATCAGATGGAGTCACCCATATGATACCTAACAGGCAGCCTTAACCAGCCAGGAGGGGCATAGATTAAATGCACACATGATGGTGTTTGCATTCTGTAGGACTCTATCTACTTCCTCAGGTCCAACAGAAGCAAACTGATCCCAGATATTTGGGTAAGACTGCTTCCCGGGCCATTTTCACAGGATTTATTAACATGCTTAGTTCCAACTGGGAACGAATCTCAACAATTTTATGTTTGGAGAATTCCTCCACACAACTCTGTAGATGGATCTTTGAGCCTTTCTTTTCAAGGAGTCTGGATGAACCTAAACAGGACCACTGGGTGGCATTACGTGGATGCAGTAAGAGCTTCATTTTCCTCCAGACATCTTGACTGTTTTTAGCTCCCCCAACCTCAATATTGTTTATTTATTGCTTTTTATTTATTTAACTTGCCCTTTGTCTTAACTTTTTCTAAAACACTTGCTTTTAGGACTTTCCAGACACCTGTTTCAATTAATAACTTTCCAGACACCTGTTTCAATTTCTACTAGTTCAAGGTCAAAAGTACAGGAAATAAGGCAATATTTTATTGTGTATTTGATAAAATTATATATAAATGTTCTTAAGAGCACATTCTGAGCCCAATATTTCTACTTTCCATTATCTGGCTTGTTTTTTTGTTTATTAGCTTGTAGGCCCCAATGATTGACTCCATTAGCTTCTCATTTGTACACTTATCTGACAGTGTAGGCTCTCAAAAAAAGATGATATTCTTTCTCTTTTCTCTCCCTCTTCCTAGTCTTAGTAATCAAAGTATCTTCATTATGTCAGACCCAGCAGCTTGCATCAAGTAATCCTATTCTTAGCCATTTTACAAAAGAAATGCTTACAACAGGGCTTTGTCATTTAAATTCAAAAGGAATCCTCTAGAGATTTTTCAAAGGCGGTATCAGGAAATAACTCATTTTCAAATTATGGTGCATTCACCAGGAGAATCTGGGATACAGTTGCAATTTCCATGCCAGAGCAATTTTATGTTTTAAATTTTGCTTAGAAAAAAAACTTGTTCGTTCAATAAAACCTTATTCAAATCTTTTGATGTTATCTGATCTAGGTCCAATTAAAATCATTTGGAATTTATTGAGCATAATAGCAATTATTTGCTGCCATAATTTAAACTATCTTGTGAGAACTGCACAAGAAAAGTTTGCCTCAAAAACATTTTTTTAAACAGACAAATAACATTTACATACACATGCATATATATGCGTGCATCTCAGTTTCATCTCACTGTAAATCCTGGTTTCTTGCTCAGATATCCTGCCTTGCATCCTCCCTATAATTCACAGTGGCCCCATCCTAAATGTGACATTCTGCCCCCTTAAGGGATTATGGGGCAGAATTCAGCAAGGCAAAAAGCAATGTTTTCGATAGGAGAACCAAGAAAATAAGTCTGATAGGGTGTATGTGTGTGAACATACCTACCACCAGATGTTGTACAGGGAATCAAGTCCTATTTACATAAAATAGTCCCAGAATTAAAAAAAATTAAGTACCCCTAACAACATTCATCTGCAATAGTCAGGGCAATATTATCTCCTATCATAGTAACGTTTTAAAGACTGAAACAACAACAAAAAAGTCTGCGAAACAGGACTTCCATATCAGAAAAACTATCCAGAGGTAGAAGAGGCCCTACAGATGTCGTACATACCCAATTAATGTGCCAGATTAGACTAGCTAATAGTTTAATCAGAAGCAGCTTCATATATTCAATTTAAGCAAGACAGTCATTATCCTTACAAAGCAACCACAATCTGGTATTTACCAATAGCTTAACCATGCAGGGATAAGTACACCTTAGATTAGAATATGTCTGAACATGTATCAAATTAAAATCATTTCTTAGGTTTGTTAAGATGTTAATTTAGAAATTGCAACTTTGCTTTAATACTTTCTCTCACCTGCCTTATTCAATTACACATTGTCCTTGTTTGGAGCATATGAGCACAAAGGTTTTGCACATGGCTGAGTTCACAGTTCTGGGGCAAATCTACTTTCATCAAAATGTATTTGACTAGACATGAGGTAGGCAATCTCGGCTCTTTTATGACTCATGGACTTCAACTCCCAGAATTCCTGAGTCAGCATGACTGACTATATACTACCTGCAGCTGTTTTCTGTTTTTTCCTGAAAGATTCAGACTTTTGTCCAAGATTAGAAGGTCTGACTCAGGAATTCTGGGAGTTGAAGTTCATGAGTCATAAAAGAGCGGAGGTTGCCTACCTAGACCTTCTAATCTTGGACAAAAGTCTGAATCTTTCAGGAAAAAATAGAAAACAGCTGCAGGTAGTATATCTAAATATGCAAATTATTTTAACTACAGCTTATTTTGTTCTCATTTTCATTTGTATATACTTTAATATTATGTGATTAGCTCTAAATAGAATCCAAGGAGTGAATAACATTATTTCAAAGTGTCTTCTCAAGCTTCAATTCCAGATGATGTACACTATACTTTCTTGAATATTGTCACAAAAATGGTTAATTGTCAACCAAGTTTCCATCAATTTAAATTCTGTTTCCCAATCAAAAGACATTCACAGGTAGCATAATATGAGAGGATAAAAATCTCCTGATGTAAGTGCTTACCCTTTATTATTCCTGGGAGACAGGAAAAAAAGATTTAGTTTGTTGTATGTGCTACTTTCGGTACCATTTACTCCCACTAAAAGGTCTACTCAAGTGTTTTTCATTTTTGGCAGCTTGAACACCGTGGACTTCAACTCCCAGAACTTTCCAGCCAGCATGCTGTGCAAGAGTTGAAGTCCACACATCTTTTTAAGTAGACAAAATTGATAAACTAAATCCTGTAAAATCCTAATAGGAGAATAGTTAAGCCTCCACTTCCCTCTTATTATCTCCATAAAATAGCAACCTGTGCACTGCTTTTAACGTAAAGAAAAATGAGAAAAAGGTATGTTTTTTCTCATGCCATGCACAGTAGCCCATTTGCAATAGGAAATGGATACCCTTAAAAAAAATCTATTCAAATCTATAGCCTAGCCTGCAGCTCTGAGAGAGAAATTTATCAAGAGAAGATGCTGTCTCTGGCAGAGGATAGCTATTGATTTCAAAATGGTACTAAGGACATATTGTATAGTTCTTGTCTTGCTATGGCTGCTGTTAGATAATTGAGACTCTCATAAAACTATTGGAGAGACTTTCTTTCTCTTTTCTTGCATAAGTTACATTTATGGAGATGCAATTAAAGGGTCAATGCCAGAATCAGACTTGACATTTTAAGAACTGGGGAAAAAACTGCATTGCTGTATTGGTGCTTTTTTTCCATTTCTTGTTGCTTTCCACCTATCAGAAAGCCTATATAGTAACTCCTGATCAACCAGTCTGCTAGAGCAAAGGTCTCCAACCTTTGGGGCAACAGGGACCGGGTTTTTCTGCAGACCGAAGGGGGCATGGTTTAGCGTGCTGCCTGCATCTGGTGGATGGGGCTTCACTTGTTTGCTGGCATGCTTAGGCACCGGTACCAGGGATTGGGAACCCCTGTGCTAGAGTAGGGCTCTGGATAAATGAATGTGTGGTCTTTAAAATATTAGCCTCTAAGTATGCCAGACATTCATTCATTGGTTTTTTGGGAAATTTTGACAACCAATGTCAGAACTGTCATTATTCACTAGCTGCTAGTCTGTGCATGTAGGAGGGAGCTGTCAGAAGGAGGAAAGGATAACTACTTATCTATATCTTCCAGAGACACCATCTCAAGGTCAAAGCACTGGCCTTTGAAGAGACAGTTCCCAAAACAATTTATTTGAATACTATTGGACAAGAAGGGACTTGAAAGGGGGAGGACCTGGGGAAGAGCTGAACAGATAAAGTTAATTGGGAAAAGTCAGTTTTGACTTTGCTATACTGTAATCCACTTGGCCTTTAGTAAAGTAAACCCTTTACACCGAATGGAATCAAGGATCGTTCTTATTTAAGGGACCAAGTTAGGGCAGGACTGGCAACCAATTTAGTCTACTGCTTAAGCCACCAGGCTAGAAAATGGGAAATTCAAGTCCTGCCTTAGGCATGAAAGCCAGCTGAGTGACTCTCTCAGTTCAAACCACCCTCCCCTTGTTGTAGGAAAAATAGGAGGAAAATGTGTTGGATATGTTCCCCACATCAAGTTACTTATAAAAATAAAGGCAGGGTATAAATAAAGCTATTTTTAATTACACTTTTATTGTTTTATAAATA